GGGGAATCATGAACGAGTCGACATGATCGAGCATTCGCATTGATGTCACGCACACGCATACACCACATACACACATTTGACACACTTAATCTCTAAATACTAGCTGTTGAAAGGCAGATATCCGATTTTGATTCTCGCATTCGGTCTGTTAAAGACAATTTCTTTCGATTCGCTTATTCGACTATATAGCGAATAGAATGCGATCGCGATCGCAATCTGGAGAATCGGACCTCTACACCGTTTATGCGATTCGAGAAGGAGGTATCACTATGACTATGAATCTCTTCTTCGAAATCTTTTGATCATTATCTTATTTCGTACTATAAGCGCACAGTGGTCCCGCCAAGCTCGTTATTCTCGGCTCGATCACCAAAGTCCAATGTCTTACATGTTGCAGACCTTCTCGTTAAAATATTCACCGGGATTGATCATGAATTAAAGAGCTTATTTTTTTCAAAAAAAAAGAAAAAAAAAAGAACGAGAGAAATAAAAAGGGGAAAAGCACTTGTTCTCGAAAAAGAATTTTCTATTTTAATAATACAATTTTTATTTTTAGATATATAGATTAAAGACGGTTTGCAAATAAGCTCTTGAATTATGTATTATCCATCGAATTTTTATTCGAAAAAAATCACACACGCAACATGCACCCGTATGTGCAGTATGGAACAGCATCTGTCATCGTCGTTATTTATACTCGGCTGCCAACATCGAGCAGAGTCCCGAGCCGGCGTAGACAATTGTAAGGAGCATTAGGCAACCGTCACATTCATCTTTAAATTTTTATTTATATTATTGTAATAGAGCTTTTATTATACGTGTTTTTCAACGAAATATGTGTAGAAATGTTTGCACGCCAAGAGAACATAAATCTCTTTGGCGATGTTTGTCATCCGCCTTTTTCTCCCTTTTGTTCTCCTCAAAACTTAGCTCTTTTTCCCTCCCTTAGCATCTTCCTCTTCTTTTACGATGTAATAAAATCGAAGTGTGTCAAAGGACGTACAATCGTTTGCAGCCGATGCATATAACAAAATTCGACATAGACTACAACAGTAACTACTTTCTTACAACACGCAACCTTACACATACTTATTCTGCTCACCATCATTCATTCAAATACAATAGTTTCTGCAGATTTTATTATATATAGGATATACACAACGCCGGTTTTATTATCGGCATGACAATGTTAAATCGGGCACAATTCATCACGCTATATTCGTTCGTTAGCTTTTACTATCTCTTTCTTTTTCTCTCTCTTATTTTTCACATATTTATTATATTTATATCTTACAATATCTCCTCTGCTCTCCCTCTCTCGTATTTATTCTTATATACAATTTATTTTTTTGACGTTTTGTAGGATACTAGCAAATGTATAATTATACCAGCATCTATCTATGCCATAAACGAGATTTAACAGTTGATGCTTTTCTTCTTAAACGCTACTGTGTGCTAATTAATCTTTTATTTATTTATATCACATTATGTTCACATACACACACACACACGCGCGCACACGCATGTACAGATTATTCATATCGCACGTTCAATGTGTTTTATTATTTCTAGTCTCTTTTTCCATTGCGAACAACATCTCGATTCATTTGACGGTTTCTTTCCATCAAAAGAAGTTATTTACACGAGGCTATTATCGCTTACAGTTTCCGACAGTAGTTTCAGTCGCAATCAAATAGCAGATATAAAATATTATTTTTGCGATATTTCCCGCTCAATTATATCTTTTTTTTTTATATGTCTGGTCATCTAGTCTCATCTCTCACATAACTTTGTTGCCCTATGTGCCACCGGGTACATAATACGGCCATTTTTATTTATTGCACGACTTGAAACTTAGTCGAGTAAATTTGCGTCAAAAATAATTCAACGAAATTTTATTGATTAATATGTTGAATCATATTTGAAAAACAATTCTTCATCTTTATTACAAATTGAATTTTCTTTCATCCCAAATTCTAATTAAATAAAAAGTGATAAATATAACATACAATTGACTATTAATTTTATACTTTGCATTCATTTCTTCCTTTACATCGAAAATGGTAAAATCGCTAAATTTAAATAGAAAAGGCAAAAAAATCCAAAAAATTATTAAGATATAAATTAAGATATCATACCAAGTGATGTGTAAGAGTTAAAGAAAAAAATCTATACATCGTATAAAAATTGTACAAGCTATTGCTTGATAGACTTGCTGTGTTGAATTTCTCTGTCAATAAAATATTTGTCTGCATAAGATAGTGATATGTTAAATGATATAATTCAACATATTATTTATATAGTAATTTAACCAAAGTATATGTTACATATGTAATTTCATAATGCATTAAGAGATAAGCATTCATATCTTAACTCAAACCGCTATCTATAATCATATCATACAATTAAATAATTTAAACAATTAAAGAATATAAAACATACATCTCTTTTTATGCAGATATGAGATAGTAACATTAACATACATAAATAAAAGCTGAGCTATCCGAAAAGATAGTCAATAGTCACGCATGCAAAAATGTAATGAAAGAAAATACCATTGCATCACATATCGAATTACATCAAAAATATACTTCATTATATAAACACTATGCATTTAGAATATCGAGAATACATTTATAAAATGGTTTGTGACATTAGTGTGTTGATCAAACGAGTTTTTTATTTTACTAATAGTAACGATCCCATACTTTGAGAATAAACATGAAAAGCATAAAATACAATTTTAAGAATACATAAAGACTTTGTGTACTTATAGAAAATTAAAAGTGCAATAGGTGAATAAGTGGATGCAATATTTCTATTTTCCTCACAGAAATAGTTATATTATTATATCTCTTTTATTCTATTTGAGTTTTAAGTGTTGCACTAATTCAATTAATACAAACAAATACTTGTAATAATAGAATAAACCATTATAATGCACATGTATTTATAATACAAGTAAATGATGACGAAAACTTGAAATAAGTGTTTCTAAATCTTTCTATATAATAAAATAATATGATTTTAATAAATTATAATTATACGCTTGTGAAAAGCGTAAAATAGCGATTTGTTCTGTAATATATTTGTTATATATACAGGCTGATTCATATAAAGTGACCGATGAATATTAGCTAAAGTTGAAAAGCTATGAAAACATTTTTATACCAAAAGATGTTTGACACAGGGGGGGGACATCGTATGGTACAAACGATATTTTTATAGATGAAGGCATTAAGGAGATTTCAAGATCTTCAACTTAATTTCATCAACTTAATTTTTTAAAATGGAACCCCCTATTTTTTATTACATATTCTTGTAGCTTGCCTCGAGAGCTTTCCAAAACACTATAATTACGTTAGTTTCCATTAAGTACTTTCCGAATTATGAGGCTTGAAATCATTTCTTAATTTTACATAAACCGTAAAATATCTTGTAAAATATCCTCATAACTCGGAAAGTATTTAATGATAACTAACTTAATTATAGTGTTTTGGAAAGCTCTCGGGATAAGCTATAAGAACACGTAATAAAAAATACGGGATTCCATTTGAAAAAATTAAGTTGATCTTGAAATCTCCTTAGTGCCTTCATCTATAAAAATATCGTTTGTACCATACGATGTTCCCCCCTGTGTCAAACATCTTTTAATATAAAAATTTTTTCATAGCTCTTCAACTTTAGCTAATATTCACATCAGTCACTTTATATGAATTACCCTGTATGTATGTATGTATGTGTGTACTAAATACAAAGGAATAAATACTTAAGTGTATTATTACAAATCTAAATACTAATTATTTTTTTACCATTGTTTCTAAATAATTTTCACTTTTATTCATCAGTGCAACAAAAATTTCATCTTGCGATTGAATTATCAAAATTAAAACAGATATCCCCGTAGGAAGTTCAATATCTGTTCTCCACAGCCACCTTATGGTAAAACTCATCATAGTCTTTAATTTTCCAATTTTCGATTAATAGATGATTAATTAATTCAACTTGTTTTCTATTAACTCATAACATTTTTTTAATAGATTTTTAATATTAATATTATTCTCGTTCTCTTATGATATTCTAAATGTATCATTAATATTATTTCTTTGTAGTATTTTTGTCAATTTTAATAAGGTACAATAAAACTTATCAATTTATTTTTAGATTTCACAAAAGAAGTACTTTAAAAATTATATAAAAAAGTAAAATTTATTTTACTTCAAATCAAAATTTTATTATTTTCTGTTATTTATAGAAAAATATTTAATCAAAATAACATAAATAATTGCTCAGAAAAAGAAAGTCAAAGTAAGCATAATGAAAAAACGATTGATCGAGAATATGCTAAAAAAATTATTCAAATAACATATATTACAAGAAAATGGTTTGTCAAATTAAGGTAGCATAATCGTCATACATACATATAACTGCACCGTTCTTATTTTATATACATATATATTTGTGTGTGTGTGTGTGTGTGTATAGTGACTTAAACAAATAATTCAGTTTCATTAGTGTATAAACACATTTCAAATTGCTGTCCAGACTTCATCAAATGTACTATATCATATTGATCTACCGTTTGTCAATATATAAATACAACTTATAATTTACATTCAATTTGAAATGTGTTTTTTCCTAATTATCACACTACTGTCACCTCTGTTCTAACTCTTGCAATATTTTTCTAATAAGCAATTCAAGATGTAATTTAGCTCAAATGGTCAGCAAATAACAGATCTTAAGCCGAATGTTAATGTTATTCTCATGTATTAATCAGATTGCAGCTCTTAGTCGCTGCAACTATAATCATGTTAAAATGAGAAATCACATAAAAATTTTTTGCATATCCAAATATATCCAAATAAATTAGTCTTTTTGCATATCACCACTTGTGTTCAATAATATATAGATCTATATCGAAAATATATCAAAAAATTTTTTCTTATTGTTTCTATAATATAATAAATATATAATTTAAATATGTTTATATCATAAATCAATATAGAGACCAAGAGTTTTAAAAGCGTTAATTTATCAACATGCTGTAATAAGCTTTTTTATTGTGGACACTTGGACTATGGCCATAAATTAGCCCTTTGAACTTTATTAATTTATGTAATAATCTAATTTGCCTAACAAAACTAAGGTACTGTACAAATATACATTGCATGAGTTGAGCAAGGTCTTTTTCTCACACTTTCTCAGTCGATTTCTTCTTCGGAAAAGTTCAAATCTTGAATTCAATCCTCACATAATTAAAGTTTTAAAATGCAAGGCTATTTCGATATTAGGAATAGCACAATGGATAAAGGCTTTTTCCGCTCAAGATTCTTTAATTACCTCATTTTTTATCTCAATAGTTATAATTTTAGGTCATTTATTGTGTCTAATTTTGTTAATACGTAATTTCAACAAATAACAAAAAATATATTTACTTTAGAACATAAAAATTCTGATTATCAAAAATTTCGACAATCCATAGTTTAATATTCCAACACGATCAGATTAATTTTGTTTTTCCTTGATATCGTCAGACAGTCGAGTTTGAAGTTGACGGAGGTTGTGTACTGGAAGCCGTTGTCGACGGTAGCGTTGATGTTGACGAGCTTACCACAACAACAGGTTTCACTAAAGTCGTGGTGTTAAGGTACTGAGCATTTACGAGCGGCATCTGTCCTACAGACTTGAGGATCGGAGTGGTAATCATCTTCCCCGCCAGGCTAGACGGTGCTAGTATGTGAGCGGTCACCTGATTACCCTGAGAAACAACTGTCATCGGCGTAACGATCGGAGTCAAACCGGAAAGAGGCGTGTGTTGACCGACGATATGAGCTATACTTTCTGTGGACGAAGCGTTCTGCATCATTGTCGAGCCTGATTTGCCCGCAGTAGTTTGAAGCGACACTCCTGCGTGACTTAAAGTTAATCCTGCAATCAAAAAACAAACACAATTTTTTTCGTTTTTTTTATACTATTTATATACCGAAACTACACGGTGAACACGTTGCATTGATACACACCATTTGCTGGAAGTATATTCAATTCCGCACCACCGGGAAGTCTTGCTAATTCCGAGCCATTGCCCCCGACCAGCGTTACGCCACTAACCATTTTATGTGTAGTCTGTGCGTCACCCGTTCTTATTCTCGTTTGAGTATCTGTACGAGAAAATATTTTTATTTTAGAAATCCTAGAGCTTGTTTATTCCGTCTGCATTACAGAGATCCTAAATAAACGTGAGAAAGATTTTTAAGGCATACGTCCGAAAAAAAATGTGTAGATTTTTATGAAATTTAATTTAATTTAGATTAGATTTCTATAAAAAAAAAACTTACTTGACACATTCAGCGCAGGAGAATGCGTAGCGAGGACCAATGGTCGGCCTTCATTCCCCGAATGCACGAATGTGACAGGTCTAACATCACTCGCGGACGATTGCATGGCCAAAGCCAGTGGCCTGTCATTGTTGGACAGATTAGAGTGCACAAATGTCACTCTGTTGTCATTGGCGGTGGACGAATGAACGACCAATGCCACGGGCCTTGGCTCATTTCCAGCATTTGATTGTACTGCGATCAACGGTGGCCTAGATTGATCTGCGGAGTTTTGAACTGCTAATGTTAGCGATCTAGGTTCGTTATTGCCGGTGGTATGAGCGACCAAAAGCTGCCGTGTATCACTTGGCACTACCCTAAGCCCCGGTCCGATGTGCTGTAAAGTCGGTACAATAGTTGCAAGACCCTGACTCGTGTTCAACATTTGGGCGCTGATAGGCAGATGTAGCTGATGTGATTGCTGCACTATACTAGCTGTGGATGTAGCAACTTTTTCCTGAAACAAAAATATCTTTCTTGTCTATCCTAGTTTTCATAGCCTATCGTAATAGTCTATTATATTTTTTCGCTGACAACAATTTAACAAGATCTATTCTCGGCAGACTTAGTTATCTGAATACATTACAATACAGTGAGACAAAAAAATCATTGTTTTAGATAAAATGCAGTAATTATATTTATACATGACAAGCACTTGTTGACAAATTTTAAACTATAGTTCAATGAAAGTTTTTAGAAAAAGAAACAATATTATTTAAAAAAATCGTGTCACGAATTTTCAAAGCCGCTTTTAGTACTAATCTATAAAGCGGCTCTGCAAATGCGTGGTAATTTACTCTAGCACCAAATTATTTTCAAATCGCAATGTTTACGATCTGACCTTGGATATGATGCCAAAATAACTTTGTTATCGTTCAGTTAGAAAAGCTGAGATATACCTGTGGAGCAGAAATGCTAGATGTAGGTGCTGCACTAGGCATCGAATTTGCAGGCGGACTTTCTCTGGAACTTCGTGCGAGATTTATATCTTGCGTTTGACAGACAGCACCCGAATTTGCGGCTTGATTATGCATATTGGAAGTCGTACTAGTGGATTGCAATGTTTGCGGTGAGCTAGCTGTTGTTACGCTGTTTAGACTGCTTGTGCTACTATATCTCGTACCACCTCGTGGGAGTCCGGCAACATCCACTTCTATACTTTCTGAAATTTATAAAAAAAACATACTATAAGATAAAAAATTTTATTTAAAATATTTTAAAAGTTTTAAAGGAAAAAAATTTCACGAATAAAATTATATATATATATATATATATATATATATATATATATGTATGTATATGTGTATATATATTTTATTTCTTGAACGAAATGTAATAAAATATTTAGAATAAAAGTTTTAAAACAAAAAAAATTATTAAAATAAAAGATTATAGATAAAATTGATAATCTCAAAGAAATTAAACATTGCCATTTCTGCATGTTTCTTATTGTTTGAATTACAAATGTAATTATTACAAATGTATCTTACCATTTTTGGCGGTTGTCATGTCCGTCACTGAATTCTGTTCCAGAAGAAGAGAATTGATGTCGATATGATCCCAAGTCGCATTGAGTTCCTTCTTCAATGCCATTAACTTTTGTTGAGCCGCGATTTTCTCTCTTGCGAGTCTCTCCATCTCGTGCTCATAATCTTGGTCTTTCTTCGTTAATGTCTGCGAAATAATAGAAAAGAAAAAATGATTTTAAATACTGTTTCTTATAATAATAGATATACAAGTCTTTATCTCTATTTTTATTGCTTATTTATATATGCTAACACATAAATATATTTATTAACCTATCAAAACTATTTATTAGAAAATTCCATTTTTAATACACATTAAAATAAAAAAATACTGATTCATTATTGATCGTATAATTGAAGAGAGAAAATTTTATGAATGAATAAATATAAAAATGTATAAAATAAACATTATATATATATTTATTTATACTTTTTGATTTGCTATATTAAGATGTTGAACAATATTGTATATTACAATGTTACTGAAATATATAATTACCTCTAAACTTAAAAATACTATAAAAGATATTAATTTTCGATCTTTTTGTCACCGATATAAAAATATAAAAATATTAAAATTAGTATTTTTATTTTAAAATCGATTCAAAATAATTCGGATCAAAATAATAAAGCTTATATGTTCGATATATTATGATATCCATTAATATTGACTTTTATCGGCTTTTGGCGGCTTAGAACGAAAAGCATTATGTCTAACAATCGCCAACAACGATATCAGAAAATAAAGCAGATAGCAACATGTATATGCTATGTGGCATAATACTGATAACCGCATAATTATATGGCTGATATATGTATTTTCTCTTATAGAAGAACGAGGATATGTCCAGTGATATGGAAGAAAAGAGGAAGTAATTAATAGATATATGTGTAAGAGTCAAAGAGAGATTGTAAATATAGACAGAAGAAAAAAATTAAATAAGTAAAACATAAGAAGTGAAAAGGAGAATTTCTATACAAAAACTAAATATGTGAATAACGAGAATTGTAGCTTCAAAATAAAAATTTTCTCTTCTTCATTATCCTGAATTAACAATCGCCTAAAAAAATTATAACTATTATAAATATAAATTATATATAACATTTGATCTTCTTTGACATAATCACATTTTGATGATAATAGTTTCGATAGTGTGCAAGGATACATTGACTATAAAATGCAGATTTTGCGGGAATGTAAATTTATCGCCACATAAAGTAAACATATCAGTTTCAGAACGAGATCGATTCATAAACAAAAAGTAGAATTATTAATGTATTTTTATTTATTCTGAGAAAATATTTAAATAGGAATTTTTTTTTAGAAAAACGTGACTAATATTTTATGTATAAAATATTTTTTTCGTCAAAATTTAAATATTTCGTTTTATTTTATAAATTCATATTTTTCAATTCAAGGATCGGTTTTATTCAGGAACTGATACGTTTATTTTAATATCCGCATTTAAACTATTTTGCACACGTATGTATATGTGACATGAATAAGTAATTATATGTATATCGACTATAAATCGTGTATAAGAATTTGTCATAAAACAATGAGCGCATTTTATACGGTAATCAGTGACGAGTTTTGTACGCTATCGATTACAATGACGTAAAAACAATGGACAAAAGGATAGAAAATCTAAATACTTGTATAAAGAGAGATATGAATTTTTTTCTTTTAATTGGACAATAACATGATTGTCTGTTCCAAATGAATTCATAATCATATGGAAGCTAACACTAATCCAGTTGATTTAAATCTATATCATTTATATTATAAATTTAGGACATTTATTATATGTAATATTTAAAAAAAAATAAGTGTCTAAAATAAATGTAAAAAAATTACATAAATCATAAAAGAAAAACAGAAACTATTGAAACTATTTATTTAAATAATATATATATATATATATATATATATATATATATATAACATACCCGTATATATTTATTCGCCGCATGAAGAATAGAGAGATTCGAAGATTTCTTCTCATCTTGCAATGGTAGCTGCTTCTTCAAAAGCTCAAAACATTCTTTGAGATGTGCCCTACGATTCTTCTCCAACTTGTTGTGTACCTCCCTCGTACCAGATCGGATCACGCACGGTCTATGCAAGAAAATATAATTGATAAGAATAGTTATATATAGACATTAAAATTAAAAAGTTTTTCTTCTTTTAATCTTTTCTAATCATTATATTAATTTGAATTTTTAAATTAATTGTAATTAAAAAATTAATAACATATATATAATTTTCTGTTTAGATTGATGAATATTTCTCCATTTTTTCATATAATGTGCTAGATAATAATATATAAATATTTGGAAAAAATATAATGCAATAATATCGATACATTTAATAACATTAAAATTAATATAATATTAATTTCGAAAGTAATAACATAAAATGTAGGAAAATTAAAATAAATATAATTCACAAACTTTGGAATTTTTGTTATAGGATATCAAATATTTTATAGTGAAGAATAGCAACAGATATAATAATGTATATTGTAATTACATTTTGGAGGAAAAGAAAAAATAATGTTTCATGTTCGTGTTGATTAAATTCAATATAATTCCACGGAGTCTTCGACAATTTTTTACGGGAACGAAATCATTATACAAATTAATTTACAAAGTTATTATTAAATCTTTATTATTTATTACAAAATCTGCAATTATAATTTTGCGCTCTCTGATGCAATCATAGAATAATCTAAGTGGCAGACGTTATCGCCGCGCGATATAATGCGACAAATGACATAGTACACGTGCCATTCACCTTGCACACGTGCACAGCGTAAATAGGTATAGCAGTTTATGCAGCGTTGGCGATGGTGGTGCTTGTGTAGGGAGATGAAGCGAGAATGTGAAGCAACAGGCTAACATATCGATTTACAATGTAATGTATGTTGGTGTACACTTAAGTATGTGTCCATTATAAAAACATTATTATCGCGTATCTTAAATAAATTCGAGTGCAAAAAGAAGATAGTAAATATAATAATATAACAAGATAAAGAACTATAACGTAACATATAAGCAAATAAATAAGATCTTATTATTAACTTGACTTTGCAATATCGCAAAATCAAAATTATTTCATAGTTAAAATTGCAAGAACGCTGTCAGAGAACTTTGTAATCTCGGAGTTACAAACATACATCTAGAAAAATTGGAAAAATACGAGAAAAGAAATAAAGATTGAGGAGAAATAAACAAATATTATAGAAATTAAAGAATCTTACCCAGTCCGATGTTTTTTATTTTCGTGATTCGTTTCAACATCGACCACGAGGTTGCCCACACTTTGCTGAGATTGATTCGGATTATGATTCTCCACATAGTGATTGTGTGTATTATGATGATCACTGTGATTATGCTGCTGTTGTTGTTGCTGTTGTTGTTGTTGTTGCTGTTGCAGCTGTTGCGAATGATGATGATGGTGATGGTGATGGTGATGATGATGATGATGAGAGGTGGAGTGAAGCGCAGTCAGCTGAACAGGATTCGATCCAGTTGATAACGGCACAGTGACTCGCGTACCAGAGACCACAGAATTCTCTCGTGTTGCAATCGATTGACTCGTCCTGCTGTTTTCCAATGGTTCCTCCTCTGTAACATCGTCAAGATTATTCCACTTACACACATAAATTATTAGAAATTATTATATCAAAATTTACTTTTAAATCTTATCTTAAAAATCCATATCTTACAAGAATAAATTTTAAAGAAACTTTTATTCTCAAGTATGTCTAGAAATCATGGCACAATACATATAGTGGAGTATTCTGCGCATGCACGAACCATTCGTCATCATTGTTTAGCATTAAAAGCTGCGTTCCGAAACACTACCCTGAGGATAGTAAACCTGAGTAAATTATAGTGGAAGCAGGATATATTCCAGGTGCGAATAGTTTTCAAACAGAGTTTCAGAATTATTTGTTGTATATCAGAGACCGTCACAGACAACTATTGGCGAAAACACTTAATTAATGTACGAATTCCAAGGAATTTTGATGTTGAGGTGGCGATAAATTTGTGATTTTCTTGCTTACGTATTTTTTAGAATAGAAATATTTACAAGTACTTTTCTTTTCACAGATGAAAATTTAATATTAATATCTGTTTCAGAACAATAATTTCTTGCATACTTCTACAAAAAAATTCGATTTATGTATTATATATTATTTCTATAAGTTTTAAATTAAGATTACGTTAAAATCTACCTGAAATTGAATAATTAAAAAATATAATTCTGATATTTCTTTAATTTGCTGCTCCAATAAAAATATAATTCTGATATTTCTTTAAATTACTGCTCCAATAAATTCAATTCAAGATTAATCAAATTAATGATAAATTAAATAATTAATTTTTCATTAAATGCTGATGTAGAATAATAAAATATTCTATATTTTAAAAAAATTCTCAAATATTATATATTTGCTTACAAAAATATCCTACTAGAAAGATATCCAATTTTAAATAGATAATTTAACCATTAATCTATACTTACATCTCTCCTTCATATTATCATCATTATAACAATATTATTAATTATTTTTAATTTTTAAACAAATTATTGATATTAGATATTAATGAAATACCATTTTTGGACGCACATGGAAAGGAGGTCTTACCGAGCAGATAATGCCGTATCCACTTTTTTTTCGGCGAAGATGACATCCAATCGTTGCTACGTCGTAGCAATTCTCCGCTGTTAACAATGTCGATTATACTGACAACTCGCGTCGGTGTCAGCGGCAGACTATTCGCATCCATTAGACTGCTCACGATGTTATTGGCCTCGCCGACAATGCCGATGTCGATGACGGGATTGCGCGCATTCAGAATCGCGTGCGCTTGCATTATCGGCGACATAATCCCGTCTGATATCAGAAGGATCATCTTTTTTTTAAAAATCGCTGATCGAAACACCTTAGCTTCCCTTCATTTCGGGATCAATCGACCACACGTTATGTTCACATATCGCGAATCGATGTCAACATTTGTCATCTCTCGGCATCGAGCGGCCTTAATAAGGATGTGAACGAGAAAACTGCGGAAGCGCCAAGTGTGCACAAGATGATAAGATCGAAGACACGCTGCGATAGCGGCGACCAGAGAAGGGAAAAGCGCGCTAAAAAAATCCAGGCTTTCGAAACCCGTTCACTAAGGAGTAACGAACCTGTTCGGACGATTCCGAGGGTCGTATCACTAATCATCCTCACCATCTCGTTCTCCGGAAATGATTCTCGAAGGAACATCCTCCAAAAGACATCTCGCGATGAACATTTTATCCATGATGATCTCCGACTATCGCATTAACATTCGTGCATTTTACATGTATTTTAAACAGTTGTGATAGAAAAACAAGTTGAAATTTAAGAAAAGAAATTTTATAGCGAGAAAGAATTTTTTTTTGTTTTTCACTGACAACGAAAAATAGATAGTGTTACATTTACACTTTACATCACTTGTTATTCCTACGAAGTACAGACCCTCAAAGAAAAACTTTTAATTCTAAATCTCTAATTTTATCTTGAGAGTTTCTAATTCGTTATTGTAATATACGTATATTACTGTAGAAATATACAATTTGATGAATGAGTGCGCGCCAGTTGATCAGCTGATCTCAACTTTGTCTTAGATAGCGACCGATCAACTGCAATGATTGAACGCACAGTAACCGAACGTAACTTGTATCGTGTAAGTCGCAAGTATCGACTGAAATCTGAACTTAAATGCCATCATCTCCGATCTGAGGTGACGTCCTCAAACCTCCCTTCTAGCTAGACAGTCGTGGTGATGGTAATGGCGAGGCAGTGGTAGTAGTAATGCAACTTCTTTTCAGTCTCTTCTACAGTAGTGACATTTCTTTATAGGAACTGTTTTCATTTAGTAAATTATTGTTTAAACTGTACGAAGGACTTGTTTCATGGCGGCACTTTAATCAGGCGTATCAAATCATGCACGTTTTTATCAGGAGTGATATAGCGATATTCAAACAATATTTAAATTATCTATGGAGGTATCTCTTTTTCCTGAATAAAAAAATTCCATTATTATCTACTTAATAAAAAATATTAATAAAAATAAATTTGCTTTATGCAGTATTCTATTTTAATTAAAATAATTAAATATCATGAAAAAAAAAATAAAAAATTATATATATATATATATATATATATATATAAAAATTGTGAAACGAAAATTTTCAAAATGAAAATTTTTAACGTTTTTCTTTTTTTTTTTCATAAAATGAGTTTTTTAAAATCATTTCCAGCTCAACTTAAGTTTTTAAAATAGAAATCCATATAGTTTTGTTGTCACATATTCTAAGCTTTAAACTCAATAATTTGTGTATGTAAGGAATTTTTTTATCTGATAAATATTTTAGAAAATATTCGCAAAAAATTACAAATTTTAAAAATTATATTGATCAGAATAACATCTGTTTTTGACATTATCCAGAATTAAATTATGAATATGATGGAATATTGATTCCATAAATATATATATATATATATATATATATATATATATATATATATTATGATGAGTTACACACTTATTGCTACTTTTATCAGATTGATATATATATATATATATATATATATATATATATATATATCAATCTGATAAAAGTAGCAATAAGTGTGTAACTCATCATAAATGAGGCATGACAAAGATAGTTGATTTTATATGCATGTGTATAGTTTAGATCATTAGATTTATGACAATTGATAATTGCAGATCTATATTCTGTGCAGTATATCGCTGTTAAATGTTATTTAGATTAATAACAATCTACACATACATATGTATGCTACATACACATACACATATACATCACATGCACATAAATGTAAACTCACCATCGATAATCAGCATTTTCTCCTCACAAAAGAGATCATCTGGCTCTGTGCGTTCTTTTTTAAATTTAGCACCTGAGAACACAGAAACCATCATTAATACTATAAACTTTATCAATTCATATACATGCATAATCAGTTCATATTTCATTAATAAATATAAAAATGTAAAAGAATGTAGGAAACATTTCACATACATATTTATATGGCATATTTTCCATTATATCTATTTATCCCAAATTTTTGTCAGGTACACCGTCAAGCCAGCCTCTATAGTAAATCCGAAACAATGAGGGATGAAAAATTGAAAGATGTGCGTCTTCATGTGCTACAGTGATAAGAGAACAGGTTGGGTTGGGTTAGGTTAGGTTAATATTTCTCTCAGACAATCTTCGGCGTGCGATAGCCGCTACGGCGTGGGGGACGCACGAACGCGTGTAGGAACACGAGGATGGAGAGAAACTCGCCGGAGCAGCTCCATCTTACTTCAATCCGCTCACCCACAGCCCCTCTCCGAACGAAAAGAACCGGCAACATCGCAGATTGATTACTACGCCACGCGGCCAGTCGCGCGTGGTAGGGATTTAGCCGGGGACAACGCGCATGCGCACTCGAGCGGCTAACTTCACCGCGTATGTGTGCGTGTATTCATTGGTCGTTGCCGACTTATACTCCGCGTGCTATACACGTGTTCAATCTTTCTGAGGGAATCATTACGTGGGCTTTATATAAAACTATACGCATCTCTGCCTTATTTACTTTATAACATCGAAGTATTACTGTTACTGTTCTGTAATAATTATTATGTAACAATGTTTTTCTCAACTGTTTGTACATAGATTGCGGTCAACGCTCCCGATTGTCACGTCAAATAGAATTAACGTTATCGAATATCTATATAATATTTACTTTAATAATATAATAATATTTCGAATTAAATGTATTACTTTTTTATTTCTCTTAGAGAAATTAAATTTCTTCGTTCACTTGCAATCTATCATTTAATTGCCATTTACTAAAAAGGGATGTCATAAAAAATATGTATACGAGATTTAAATGTGACGCTTCTTTGAATTGTAACATTTTATGACAGTGCGATTAGAGTATATTTTTAGAGTATATTTAACACTATAAAATTGAAAAAAATTGTAAAGGAATTCACACACAATTATACATTTCTCATCATTGAAAAAATTAATGGAACGAGCAAAGTCTGATGTTGAGAATTGTATGTAATTTTGTCCTTATAAAGACAAATCATGTCCGAAACATAAAATATATAAAATACGAGGAATGGACTTTATACGACATTATAGAGTGCAATTGCGTCCTTTAGTCGCGTGTAAAATAGATGGTTTTAAACGATAGTTTAACACACATTGCCTGTTACGTCAGTACTATCGTATAATCGCGTATGGTATAACAGATCGAATATACAAAGATAGAAAAAGCCAATTATAGCATTTAAACAATCCATATTACGATCGAGATTGTGCACTCGCAGACTTCTTACATATGCACAATATAAATAGTACATAAAATATAATTCGTAAAGCTTGCGTCTTACACTTTGTGCTATCTTGCATTAAAAAATAATCTTGTATACATATATACAATGTTATTAAATGACAGCTAGAGAGGAGGAGGAGACAAAGAGAGAGAGAGGGGGGGGAGAGAGAGAGAGAGAGAAGGAAGGGAGAAAGAGGGAGGAAGAGAGAAGAGAGGGGGGAGAGGGCAGAAGCGGAGGGGAGAGAAAAAGGAGCAGAGCCGGGGGAAAAGAAGAGAGAAAGGGAGCAAGTGGGGAAGGGGGAAGGGGAGAGGGCGGGAGAAAAAGAGACGGGGAGAAGACATTGGCTGTGCGCGCGAAAGTAGATGGCGCGCTCGTGAATGAAATGCGAGTGACCGCTCCGCGCCGTAGTTTCTAGAGTCAGTGACCGGGTTTCCTCCATCTTCTATCCTCGTTCACATGTCCGACACACGTGCGCGATACCCGGATTTGTTGCCATTGCGGTAGAGTTGCATCAGGGTTACCGCTGACACTGACTCTCCCGTCTCTTTTGTTTCCGTATCGCTTTATACTTTTCTTCCTACGATCTCTAACGATTCGACTTCCCCCAATATCTACACAAATAATACCTTCCTCCCCCCCGCTATCTCGATAGGTTTCATTTTTTTTTCTCAGCAACCTCTCGTAAAATGTTCGTTTCTACCTGTCACGTGTTTCTATGTACAATTTGTCAAGTCGCAAGAAATTTTCGTTTTTGATTCTTTCTTCTTAAAGCCCAGTAATATAGTCTATTCATCGATAACTTCATCATGTAATGCAGGATTGGTATTGGAATGTAGCAAAAAAAAAACATATATGTGATAACAAAAGAATATTACGCAGCCAACGGCATAATTATCGCCACAAAAGAACAAAGCGATTTGTTTCTCGAACAAACACGATACATTTCAAATCGAGGTAAATCACGTTTCACGTGTGTTTTAGAAAGTCAATCTTGATAGTTTTTCAAAATATGTCGAGTTAATTTGAAAGAACTTAATGGCAATCAAAGAAATATGATATCAATAATCCGTGTTTATGGTCGTTCAAGGATGACAAACATGATCAACCGATTAATCAACAAACAATATCTGAGGGCGAAGCAAAAACGTTTAATCTTTTGTATTATAGAAGCATTTTGCTAATAGAAGACAGAAAATATCAACAGAGCTATTGCAAAATCAAGATGAATTTGCTCTTGAGAGATTAAAAATAAGATAGTTTTTATCTCAAAATATATAATAATAAATAACAAATTAGAAGTGTCTTCATTACTTTCTCTTCAACCATAATTGAGAAACACTGTCACAAGATAAATCATGCCTAATTTGGAAGCGGTGAACGCGTTGATCATCGCATATGACTACGCGTATCAGTGTTTCTCAATCCAGGTAGGCATTATTATTGACAGCATAACGTTTTTGCTTCTCTCAAACTCACCATTTTGTGATATATAAAGGCAATTACGAATGTGTTTATTTAATACAATAGAACTAACGTTTTAACGTTTTAATATTCCGATAATAAAATCTATAATTATAATTTCGAATAAAAATATTTTATGAAAAATTGGTTGAGAATCGCGCGCCTCTATATATACTTTACATTTATCCATTTTTAGACATTGAATATTATCCAATGATTTGAATATTACGTTTGTCAAGAAGGGCATTATGTTATTAATTATTAGTCAATCACTCGCAACGCCAACAAAATAATTATTGCATAATGAATAGAATATATGCAAGCAATTATTACATTTGATAAAGCGATAGAAAACAGTGTATGACACATGTCTATGTTTACGAGAAAAAGCATAGTATAAAAAAAATGATATATGACTGAATTTATTTCAAAATTTTACATGAAATTATTTTTGGAATATTTCATTTTTATGAAAATTATGAGCTAGAGCCGATAAAAACATCTTAAAATGATGTGCTATTTATAAAAGAACACAATTTCCTTATATCAAATAATACTTCTGATAATATCAATATAAAATATTGACGTGATTCGAGTATGACAATCTTATTCGCGTCACGAATCAAGGTAAAACTAAGGCAAAGCAAGGCAAAGCTAGGTAAAGTAAGGAATGAAGCAAAGCAAGGCGAGGCGAGGCAACGCTGCATGCCCCTCTGTCTTCCAACGATTCATAAAAGGTTGCCGAGACCCGGCGCGTGGTACTCACCACGTGGCTCAGAAGAGGCGTAAGTGTGGTTAGAGTGGGGCGGCGCGGACACAAACGAGTGCTGATCCGAGGAAGAGGAGGAGGAGGAAGTACTCGCAAGACGCTCCCGCTTCTTCTCCTCCTGTTCGACATAATAGGCCGCTTGCAACAATGTTTCCAGACTCATTCTGTGGCCGATGTGCTGTTCCCTCGCGACGGACGTGGAAGGGAGGGGGGCGCGATGATTGTGGTTGTGATGACTGTTGTTGTTGTTGTTGTTATGGTGGTGATGGTGGAGGTGGTGACGGTTCTGCTGCTGTTGCGCCGGCTCTCTGACTTGCTCGCAAACGCTCGTCGAATGCTCGTGCTGATTCCGCCGCATCGAACCGCCGGCGTTACGGCGGCCGCCGACGCCGCAGCCGCCGCCGGTTCCAGACGCCGGCGATGAATTGGCAAGACTAAGTCGTAAGCCCGACCCACGCTTCCCTCACCGCTCTCTCCCTGTCGCTGTCCGCCGCGTCTGACAATCTACGGGCGGGGAAAAAGAAATTAATCGTTAGTAAACAAGTTTGCGTCTATTAATAGATTCAGGTGAAAAGCGCCGAAAAGCCTCGTACGTGCGAAATATTCGGGGCGAGAATTTTTCGAAAACGAACGTGGGAGAAAAATAGAGGGAAAATCGCGATACCTTCGCCTCGTCAAATTCGAGGATTCGAAATGAGAGCCGCATTATTTGAAATCGGAGTCGAGAGAGAGAGAGATTACTTGGAAAATAGTCCGTGGAGGAGAGTGTCACGATCGCGGTGCGTCTACGAGCTACATCACGTGACGTATTACGTGACGTAACGCAGTCGCGCGGGAAGCATTTCCATCCCCACCACCGCGGCCGCCCACTCGTGCCGCTCTTGCAACAGACGGAACGCGCCGCGCACGCGCGGAGCGGATACGCGGCGCAAGTTTTTTTTTTTTTTTTTTTTTTTTACGGCACAGAATGGCAGCGCGCATCCCAAGTTTGCGTTGCTGGAATCGAGCAGACGAGCTCGAAAAAGGGGCGAGAATGTTTTCAGATGATTGCAACCCGCGAGAAAGCACTTTTCAAACGCGTCGTACGTCGATTTCGATAAATTGTCGCGTAAAGATTGCAAAGCATAATGATGCGAGTCGTTCCTTTTTTTGATATTTTGACATTTACACGTCTATTAGAATCATCATTAATTATAAAAGTATAATATGAACTTTTAATTTTTATTTCTTAAAAAAAAAAAAAAACACTTATAACACCTCGATTCAATTCCTCTACCTCGAGATAGTTAACTTTGCAACTCGTGTGATTTTATTTTGCGATTTGATCGATTGATACGAGCACCTTGCTCCGGAATAATGCACGAGTCTGATGCTCCGATCGATCGAAAATTGACAATTCGTAAGATCACGTAGGCACGGGACGACGAATTGTGTTATCTGCCCGCCGCGTGACGAAAAAAAAAGAGATCATCGGTGGCATCTCATTACGTCGTGTTTGCGTGTGTAAAAGCGGTCACGAGAATATATATGCAATCACGTGTATATCGGCGCATGAAATCGTGTAATTCGCGCTGGAAGAAAAAAGTGAGAAAGGAGAGAAAGGGAAAATTTATTTTGATCCGCATTAATCTTACCCAGGTGGCAAAAATAGTCATTCTAACGTAATTCGATGTCAAGAAGACCGCTCGACATAACGTCATCGCGATAGAAAAAAATATCAAGGCGACGAGATTTCTTAGGAAATAAAAATACATATAAATAAAGAGCGATATGCAAGATGTAGATAAGCGTGAATAAAACAATTTATCGCTCCGTTTTAATCCGCGATAAGATCTCCGAAAATGTATGCACCTGAGAAACGCTAGCGGAAGTTGATGCTATATTAAGAAAAAAAGAGCAAAGAGCATCAGAGAGAGAAGGAGGAAGAGAAAGAGAGAGGGGGGGGGGAAGAATATATATAATAATAATAATAAAAAAAAAATAAAGACCCCGTAGTAAGCAGTAAAGTAGTCGTAATAAAAAAGTGCAACGAAACGAGGCTTCGTGGCTTGCCTCGTGTCGTGATTTGGAAAGCAGTTGTGTACTTCGCCGGATGAAATCGCGAAAGCGTACGACATCGACGACGTGCGGTCGCATTCGCATTCTCCGCGGGAGACGCGCGGGCTTGGCACGAGAAAATTGTGGAGGGAACGGACGAGCGACCGGATAGTCCGCAGCGATTAATCAGCAACGGAGAGGCGATCGTCGCGATCGTCGCCGCCGTCGTCGCCGTCGTCCTCGTCCTCGTCCTCGTCGTCGCCGTCGTCGTCGATGGTGAGGGAGAAGGCGCACATGCGGACAGCCTGGACGGAGCGCGCGCGCCTTTCGCGAAAAGTCAAAGAAAGCGTGCCACCGTGAGCCGCGTGAGCTGCGAAACTGACAAAGCGACACGCACGTTAGAACGGTCGACGACGCACGCAACGCCGGCCAATCGCGAGCCTCGCGCTCCGCGACGTCACCGGCTACGCGCCGCGCCATTGGCGGGCTCTATTATGGCACAGAAAACACGCCACGCAATCATCTCCGTACGCATGTTAATTAAATAGACGCTGGTAACGGAAGAAATAATGGTCCACTAAATAAAGTTCGCCCGTACTTGTTCCCGTCCGTCTGCCTCTCTCTCTTTCTTCTTCTTTCCCTCTCTCGCTCCCTTTTAACGCTTCCTTCTTTTCTCTCTTCTTTTTATTTTTTTTTCTTTTGCGCTCTCTTTCTCTCTCGTGCGCGCGCGCGCTTCCTCCCTCTTTCCTCATCCCTGTCGCTCTTTCTCTCAAACGGGCGTGGTAGTTTGAGAAAGAGAGAAAGGTGGAGACGGGGAAAGAAGGGAACAGAGGGACACGCAAGATTCTCCGCCAAAAACTTACGTATTAGAACAACGTTGTATCCGGATGCACAAGTTCCCCGTGATTCGCACACTGACCGGATAAAAGTGTACACAGCAGCTAGCAGGCGATAATCGTTTCCCCACTTTTTTTTTCAAAGTCTCACTCACTCTCCTTTCTTCCTCGTGTGCCTGGACCGAGCACGTTTTCGTTATTTGTCATCCAGGAGCGCGCGTGATTCGCTTAGGCTCGGAACGGATCGAATCGTACGAGCAGCTGACGAAGCCGCTGCCGCGAAGCAACGCGAAGGGAAATGCCCGCGATCACGTCCGCGCGACGAACCGACCGTTTCGGAGCGCGCGGCGAAACGCGGGTTATAACCTGATCGATCTGGCGCGTGGCGGTGGCATTTTACAAGTGCTGAAAACCACTGCGCATCAAACTGCCATGCTTGCTCGGCCACGATTCACGTGTCCGGGCACCGTATCGCAGGCCAATAGTCGCGCGGCTCGTGACGTCATCTGGCTGTATCGACGAATGAGCGCGGCCCATGTGACGCAGCAGTCCCGCTGGGCGTGTAAGACAAGTATCGCGGAACTCTTGCTTTTCGGTCGTCGTCGTCGCTCGGTCGACCGTCCTCGTCGTCGTCGTCGTCGTCGTCGTCATGTATATAGTCGCTCACTCGGTAAATTCGCACATTCCGCGATCGTCCTTCCCCGTCCGGGTCTCTCTTCCCCGCGAGCGCGAAATGTCACGAGAGAATCGAGCGGGAGACGCGCTTCCACGACGCGAGGCGAGAGTCTCTCTTCCTTCTCCGTTTACCATGTATCGCGATCTCGAGACGTACGGATATGTATGTACGTACGTGGAATGTGAGCGAGAGAAGAGCGCACGTATCGCACCAGACACCCGGCTCGCCCGGGCAAACACTCACGCTCCGATCGCGGTGGTGGCGGCGTCACCCTCCGCCACCTTTTGTCACGTTCCTTCTCTGTCACATGGATCACTGCGTGAGCATGAGCGCGAGCGCGAGCGCTGTTGCCGTTTCTACTTGCCGGACGGAGCTACGCTCTATTGTTTACTTTCGCCGGTGCTTTCGCGGGCGCGCGTGCGTGTCGATGCGTGCCCACGAGGTCGTCGGATGCAACCTCCTGGCTACTAAATATATATTTTTGGCACGAAACTTTTTCTTCTTTCGCGAGAGATACCTTTATTAATTGTTTGCCTATGATTTTGGGCGATTTCAATTTAAAAAAAAATTGCTTAAAAATCCAAGGGAAAAAAGACGCTAGAAAATATAAAGTATGTTGTATAAACGGCCAAAATATAACGATGCCCGGAAAAAAATTCGTATACAATTAAATATAAATATTTATAATTATATATATGAAATATATCTATGTATTTTGTTTCTTTATATATAGATATTTTTTATATTTGAATTATTTCTTTCCAGGGGCAAAGTAATTCAAACTACATATGAAATCATTAATTATTCATAAAATAAATTTTTAAAATAATCGAACTTGAAAGTAGAATGCAACTATGATTTTTTTTAAACGGGAATAAATTTACTTAACTTAAAATATATTCTCTCATTTATATAATCTTGAATCTTTTAATTTGAAAAAAAAAATATGTATATATATGTATACATCTATATATATACATATACTCTCGTTATACAAGAAATATTATGAAATATATATCATGCAAAAAATTCTGAAAAACCTAGGTAATTAATATACAATTCAATATATGATGCACACATCTGATTGGATACATCAAATAATTCTTATTGTAAAAAACCTTGACTGCATTTATTAAATTTTATTATTTTCTAGTTTTATATACAATTAATTTTTTCCGAAAATATTTTTATTATTTGTTAGAATATAAATATATGTTATCTATCTACTATTATCTATTATTTATAATTTTTATGCAAAATTATTGTCACTAAATTATTATATCATACAAGTACACTGTTAAAAACAATAATAATAATACATTTTTGTTTATTAATGATAACTATAAACTTATACTATTATACAATTTTGTATATATACAAATACACACACACATATTTACACAAATAATGCAATATAATTAAAAATATCAAATGTATATTATATAAGCTCTAACAAGAACAGTAATTATTTTTTGAGATAGCACAGTAATTTTCATATGTAGTTTGAATTATATTTGAATCTTTTTATCCAACTCTAAAAAAAATAGATGGAAAGATACAATGTAGACTATATGTAGAAATATATATACATACACACACATCTACATGCACACAACACAAATACACACACACACACATGTATATATATTTCTAATATATTTAGATATCAATCATAAAAGTTTGTTTCTTTGACTTTGTTCATATATAAAATAAAATGTAATTTGACAATTTAAAATATTCAATATACATTAAAATATTGATTTTTATAGTAAATCTTATTTGACTTATATATTAATTTTTTATAGAAATATATTCTATATGATTTAGAGGACAAACTTATTTGTACAAAAATTGTGACTAGATTTTGCATGAAGTACTATATTCTAATGAAAATTGATCTAAGAATTAACATTGTACACATGTACATTGCATCAAGTATGTCATAAAGCACTATAATAATTTAAACAAATATATCTTTTATTATTAAGTGTTGAAGACATTATTTTTTTGATTAGGACAAAATAATGAGATTTACAAATAAGATTTTTCAAGAATTTCCAACAAAATAGTTATTTTATCGCAATGTTATATATAAGATAAGATGATAAGATGATATATATTATCATATTGTGGATCAAACTTTTAACTTGTTTATAAAAATATTGTTAGAAAATATTTGTTCTGCATTCTGCTTTTACATTTAGATATATATATATAGAAATACATTTCTTGCATTTTCAGTCTATTGATGTCACTGACAACATAGACTTCTTATATATGCATATAAATTTTAATATAAATCTAATCAATTTCAACACTATATACAAGTACATACACATACACACAAAATTCAACTGCTATATAATCGTTAGAGCCCCGTTTTTAAATATTATTTTACAATTTTTAATATTTTTAACATATTTTATTCAATCATCGAGATTCTATTTTTGTAGTAAATTTAACTAGATAAAGTTAACAAAATAATAGTTATCTACTTAAATTATTAACGTACAGATGCTTTAGTTCTGTCTTTGGTGTATTTTCGAAAAGTGCCGCACGATTTTGACCCTCCCCCTTCTTTACCCAATGCCCATAAACTCGAAATGCACAACCGTCGATTACCTGAAAATTATTGATAAAGAATGTTTAACAAATATATAATATCTGTACTTAATCTCAATAAACTTGAAACTTTAAAAGATTAAATTTACGCATTATTTAAAACCAAATTCTAATTTCTTTTATCAATTATCACTCATATTTAATATCCTTTTTTCAATGTCACAAGTATATCATACTGTAATTATTAAACACACTATATTATATAGTACTATATATTTATTATAACGAATTTTCATTATTTTTATCTACTTTAAAAGAATTTTTACCTTTCGTAGAATTTTTATCCTATATGGATCAGTACAAGTTATTTGTGTTGAAAGTGGTTCAGGCGTGTTATGAAGTCGTTTAATACGAATAACAGCTCGCACACAAATAATAGCCAATTGGAATCTCTTTCGTGCATTGAACGATTTGGCCTTCAGTTCCTATGCAATGAAAAAATAAATATGATACAAATCACTAGCTTCATAGTAAAAAGTAACAAGCTTAAGCTTTTTTTAATTAATAGTTCTATTATGGTATATTATTACTCTATTATTCTTTACATATAAAATATAAAGTTTTTTATATACAATTAAATTAAACATCAATAATTAGATAATAGGATTTAAATATTGCTAATATTAAATATTGCTAATATGTATGCACGTATATTATAACATATGTTTTTATTTTCATTAATCAATTGTTGTATGAAGATGCAACAAACACGTATATAAATATATATTTCCTTTTCAAATATTAATACATACACATATATGTTTGTGCATAATCATTTGGAAAAGAAAAATTAATTAAGTCTAATAAATTAGATGCATAAATATTAATATAAATTCTATTAATAAAAAGCTATTACTATAAATAAATGATAGATTAGTGATTTAGTTTTAAAACTAGATTTAGTTAACTATACATAGATAATTGAAAACAATCTCAATAATATGTGCTTGAGAATTAATAAATGATTAGCTAAATACTTATAAAGAGGCAATCGATATCTGAAGGTGTTAAATTTTGCTTTTATTAATATTTAAAAAAAGGGCTTTATCTTTTATTAATATTTAATGTTCATTCAACACACACACACACGTGTATGTGGTATTCAATCATCTATGTATTTATGATATAAATTGATGATAATTAATGTATGTTGACTAGAATAATATAGGTATTAATTGTGATGTAAAAACAGTAATTAGTAAGTCTTTACATTATTTTGTTATATAAAAAGGATAATAATCAGTAAATTTGATTTTTGGCAACAAAATAAAAAGAAAAGCAATTTACCAAAGCTAACTGAGATATCCTACTCAGACGTCGCGAGTTAGATGATAGAGAACGTTTTAGAGGAGCAATGTCTTGATCCCACAGCTGTAAGACCAATAACTTACATTTTATAATTATAATTTCACAATCCACAAATGTGTCAAACAACTCCACCTATTTAATATTTTGTTAACACAAAATAAAACCATAATTATATAACAAAAAATAAAAATAAGTGCACATAGATAACTAGATAAATAAAGAATTAATGATTTAATATTTGTATCATTGAATGTAAGATAGAGAAAATATAAAGATCCTTTATGTTTATTTTCAATCTTTTATTGTTAGTTTATATATATTAGTCTTTTATTATAAAATTCTTTATTATAAAAATACTTAGAATAATGAAATAGACGCAAGTATATTTTGGTATAAAATTAATAAACAAAAAAAGCAACAAATTAATGACAAGATATAATTTTATGGCAAAACATGATGTATATAAAAAATTGATTTAAATTTTATATATGTATGTTGATATAGAATCCTCACCTCAAATTAAAAATGATACATATAATTAACTATTTTGATGTATACTTAATATACTTACGACAGTATGGAAGAATGAATGTTCTAATGCATCCTTTATAGAAATTCTTTTTTTGGGATCTACAACTAGTAGCTTTCTTATTAAATCTTTTGGAGCCTCTAAAATATACAAAATATACAACTAACTAAATATCTAAAATATACAACTATATACATCTCTTAATTATATACATATATATATATAGTATTCTTTGAATTTTGAAGATAATAAAATTGAAGCATAAAAGTTCACAAAAAATTAAATAATAAAAATGAATGCTACTCTTTATTTTTTAGATATAAAGATTTAAAGTTTGATCAATTATAAGTTATTTAAGAAGAGTCTTTTATCTCTATGAGTTACTAATATTAGTTGCTAAACTTTGTGATTACTAATGTTAGATAATATTATCCCATAATCACATTATCATCAGGACAGATAATTGTTCAATCAATGCTAATGATTGATATATAATTATTTAAAATTGCAATTAGAAAGAAAATATGTATTTTCATTATTGTATTTTTCATGAACTTTTTTCAATCTTTTATCTTCTTATTTCAAGGCAGTTTGTACATTTATAACTTTCTTTTAATTTATTATTTCTTAAGATGTAGTTTTTCAATTGCAATTTTTACCTGTTATGTCAGCCCATTCGGGAGATGTGAATGAATATTTTCCCTCCATTATATTTCTAAGCATGACCATTTGCTTTCGATGCCAAAATGGAGGACAGCCAACCAATAGTGTAAACATAATCACACCACATGCCCATCTATTACATCATAAACAAAAATGGATAATATAATGGAATATATATAGCAGGAAAGCTACAATATAATATAAATTCATTTATATATATTTACACACATTATATCTGCAAAGTACAATATAGGTTTATATGTGTATACTATACTACTGTATGTTCTATAATTAATATATATATTATAGAACATAGAGTAGTATAGTATATACATATAAACCTATATTATACTTTTATATATATAATTAACAAATATATAATTAACGAATCTTACATATCAACTTCAAATCCATAACCATCTGCATTCTCAAACATGTTACATTTTAATACTTCCGGTGCTAAATAGCCAGGTGTACCACAAAGATCTGCAAAATATATAAAACTAGTAGGTAAATTTTCTAAAATTACACATAAAGAAATTATTCAACAAACCTTCTAATTTTTCACCAGGATTCAATATTCTGGCAAATCCGAAATCTGTTATCTTTACATTCAAATTATCATCGAGCAATATATTTTCAGGCTTTAAATCCCTATGTACTATTCTTTGATTATGTACATGTTGAATTCCTTCAAATACTTGTCTCATGATGTAACGTGTCTTCTTTTCAGAAAGTGTCACAACAGATGTAAGATAATCAAATAGTTCTCCATTTTTGCATAATTCAAAAATTAAAAATATAAATGTACTGGATTCAAAAACATCATGCAATTCAACTAGAAATGAAAAACAGATGATTGTAGTTGTCCTATTTAACATGAAATGTTTTTTAAAATTAAGGTATGATTGTAATCTATCAATATACAGTAGAATCTCTTTAACTTTGGTTTTCTCAAAATAGGAACAAAACATTCTTGAAAAACAAAAATAAATGGATACTCTTTGTCGACAATAGTTGTGCATCTGTAATCTATCCATTATGACAGAAGGGATGCGATATTAATGTATATGATATGCAAAGAGATGCCGAAATTAGCATACAGCCAAATTTGAAGAGACTCTATCAGTTTTCAGTGACCCTTAAAAGAAAGCTAAAATAGAAAACTTACTGATATATGGATGTCCAGCAACTCTATGAAGTATTTGTACTTCTTGTAGCGTAGCATCCTTCATAGTGTGCCCATCCTCTTGAGTCTCATTGCTGATGTCTATAATTTTAGCTGCATATTCTATACCTGTCTCTTTTTCTATACATCTTCTTACAGTAGACGATATTCCCCTAAAATATTGATTGCCAGATATTAAGCCTAAATCATGAAAGTCATTAAAATAGTGCGTCAATTGTGAGCTATGCGAAAATGTATCAAAATCTGCTCCAATTATGTAATGACACTGTGAATTTAAAAGATAACCATATAAATTTGTTCGCTAATTAACCACGACCGCCAGACACGAATATACAGAAATAATAAGAAAACAGTGTTTATTACCAACACTTTCGCGAGAGCCAATAAGAATACTTAATAATAATAATAAAAAACAAAGCATGAAGTGATATACCTTCCCAGGATCTCCTTGGGCTCGTACTTGGCGTAAAATCCTTTCGCCGCGTCCTTGTCTGGCAGCAAGTCGTCCCCTTCATCCTTCGCCATGATCTCTCACCGTTGTCAACTCCAACGTTGCCCCTAAGAGATATGAATAGAGTATTTCTCTTTACGCAGATCTCAATAATACATCTTCGCCAGGAACAACATATTTCTTAAGAAAGATCAACACAATCCAAACGGTCGGAGTAGACATATACTAGCGGAATTCTTGTCACGTGGAACTGTCATTCGCAATCCGAATGTCGCTCGATTATCTTTGATCATTCGCAATGATGCAATATGATCATTATAGCGCTACTGGCTATCAATAACTATCAATAGATGCTATCTTGCTCAATGCGAGCATAAAGGAGAATACGTGAATGAGAGACGGTAATAAGTACACATAATAGGGAGCAAGAAATAAATCCATAGACACAATGACTGCGTTCCTAAACTCACCGAGTACTAGAGAAATCTATAGTTCACGTCACGTACATTATACATTTCCAGTAATGGCAATTAATTTTGGAACGCTGCCAAGTTACACGATTGGCTATCGAATAGGGATATTTCGAAACTTTAAAAATTCCCTATTCGACAGCCAATTGCGTAACATTGCGTTTTCCTTTTTCAAGCTCCAATAGTGATATTTCGTTTTTGATAGGTCGAGTTTCTAGTGCGCATGCGTCATTTAAGCAGTGAGCTCCGAGATATATTTAAAAATATGTTCAATTGTATTGAATCATTCTGGAAGTGGTCGATCTACTTTGCTCGAAAATATATTTGTTATCATAATTAGAATTCTGGATGCGAGTCCTATCAATTCTTTAACGTCCAAGGTAATAAGATTATAACATATATAATTAATTACATATGCAATATTAAAATAAGAATTTAAAAATATAGCATTATATATTTTTAATTACAATGTGAATACTTTTAATTACAATGTGAATAAATATTTGAATATGACATCCTTGAAAATGTCAAAAAGTAAAGAATAATGCTCTAAAGTTAAAGAATAATGCTACTTATATATTTATACACGCAAATTTAATTCTTTATTCGTACAGAATTTAAACTAAAATCTTTTCGAATATTTTCAGATGTAATTCCTAAATATTTCGGATTAGTTTTACATTGCTGCTCATTATGAAATCAAGTATTGTACAAATATTTATTTACGTTTACATTTATCGTAAAATTTATTGTTGCACTTATCAGGAATGAATGATCGCTGGAATAATCGGGGATATAATTTTGTGATCCATTTATTAAAAATATGCACTAATTTCACATTGTATTTCGTTACTTTCAATTAAAGTAGAATATGACACAATAATATTGTCCTCTCTATCTATGCATCGAGACGCCTCTAGCATAATTTTCAAAATATACATTATTTTGTATTCACCGTTTACAAAAGACTAGACTCATTCTTTTAGATATTTCTCGGTACAATTTTGAATTTCTATCTAGAATTATGGGTTTTTCTAAGACATTCTCTTTTTTTACTTTTTACTTTTGGTCGGTTATTCACAGATGTATCGCGAACCTCTGCCGAGATGTTCGCTGTTACAAATTATCACGATGGTATATTACGCGTTGGCGCGTCTCATGTGACTTACAATATAGAGATTCTTATCGAGGAGAATCGTATCTGTTCACAACATATTGTATTTGTAACACAAAAATATAGTGTTGCTCGTGGTACAATAAATTCACATCGGGTGCATCTACACAATACATAGTGCTTTCAAGCAGTGAATTAAGGGTTTTCGATATCACGCAGATATTTCAAAATATGCACGAGAGAGACACAAAGCATAGATAAAAAAAATGTAATTATATTACATAAATCTCTTTTTAATATATAATTTCATTCGATAAAAATTACAATATCGATGAAGCTACGTACTTTTGAAATTTTTTTGAAACAGGAAAAATATGCTTATTTTTCAATTAGTATTAATTTTTCACAAGGATATTAACTTTTGTTTGTCTATTTAGAACATTCCGTATATACTTATTCTATGTTTGTGTGCTCGCGTGCATGTGTACATGTGTAGAATAACGTAATTGGCACGCAGCTATTTTATATGATCGACGATAAAAGATGATAGAGGAGAAAGTTGAATGACATAATATTTATTTTTATACGACCTCTTATTTTCTTTTTGCATGTTATGACACCGGAAAAGTCCAATTGCTTTCCAATTACTTTCTTTTTTTAACTAATTCATTAAAATTATTCTGAATAATTTGCATATAAAAAAATAATATAAAAAAATAAAAACTTTTAACATAACATTTAATGTTATTATAAAAATCATAATAAGAGCATTATAAGAGATTCATAAAAGAAAAAAAATATTTCGTGATATAAAATTCTCTTTAAGTAATGATTTAAAAATATGAAATGTAAGCATTTCTTCCTTAAAAAGTTCTCATTTCAAATATTTTTTTTTCTTATACTTTTATTGCAAAAGAATCGATTTTTGAAAATCGATTTGAGTGCTATTAAAAAAGAGTAGTTGCGCGCATTTTTTCGCATTTTGCATCATTACACTATTAAAAAAATGAACGATATTGTCATTGTTGGTAGATTGTTATGTCATTCAACTTTCTTTCTATATTATTTTTTTTCTATTATCATTTGTTCTGGAGAAAATCACAATAAATTGTAGTAAATTGTGTGTGCGTATGTATGTGAAAAAAGACTATCCGGATTTTGTGTTTTAAATATTACAAGAAAAAAGCTTTTGTTTGTTAGATAGATACCAAGATAATTATTCATTGATTTAATTTCATAAAGTTAGAAAAAAGTTTTATTTTCTTAGATTTTTAATTTCTCTTAATTTTTTCAGAAATGTTTTATTTAAAATTACCATGAAAAATAAAATTATCATTTTAACTAAAAAAAGAAATTCATTTTTCTAATTTTTAAAATAAAAATTTACAGTATGAAAGATCATCTTTATGACATGTCAATTACTGTACACACACATATAGGCACGCACATGCGTACACGTAATGCATACGCGCATATAACACACATAACAAACAGTGCGTACGGATGTGTGTCATAGATGTGTGTCATTTCATTTACTGAGGATGAAATTAGCTAAAAATAGTATATACTATAGGAAATATAATCCCCTCGTATTTGATTGTAAGGATAAAAGTAAATCGTGCACGTGCTTATATAAATGTATCTAAGAAATCGAGTTTGATTTATACCTGTTTCTACTAATGTCATTTAACTTTAATCTTAGCTTACTCATTCTTCATCTCCTTCTAACTGTTCCTTTAAAAAAAGATAAAGAATGAGTTAAGCTAAGATTAAAGTTAAACAACGTTGATAGAAACGTCCATTAATGTTTAATTTATATAAAGTATAAAACACTACGTAACATATTGTGCATCGTGACGATTCGATTTTTTAGTTTTAGTTAGTATAGAAAAAAAAAACAATCTTTTTTTAGTTAGTATAGAAAAAAACTTAATCTGTGTTAACAAATAGAATATCTTTCGCATGAGTTATACATATGTTAGCAAATAAACAGCTAAATATGGTCCGATAGAAACTATACATATATTTTTATGATATATCGTCTGTATGTAAACGCAATTTACTTAACTAGACTGGAACAATCGCGATCTCTTTCTTATTTTACTAAGGACACAGTTAATTAGGGAACGCTCTCATGGTTGTTATTTAATTTTTATTTTATAGAAGGCAAACGAGCTAGCGAGAGAAATTATGAAAGAGAAAGAAAGAGAAAAAAAGAGAGAGAAAGAAGCATTACAGTAAAATACGTTTTAACAATGAAACATATGCAGAAGAATATTATAAAGCGTATTAGTATTAATCAATTAAAATTATATCGAATTTTCAACGAGATTACTACCTCAAGAAAACGGAAATAATATTTGATTCATCGATTTTTGTAGATTGGAAGAATCTGATTCTGACATTGATTATTTCGATAACTACATATGTTACAATATAAGCCGATTAAATCGGATTTCAAAAACTCGTAATTATTCTAATTTAGGGCTACCAATTTATCTGTACTTCTCTTTCTCTCTCTGCGCGCGCGTCTGCTTTCTCGTATTGACTACTCATCGGAAAAGAGAGATGCATTAAATCTTTGAGAAAAATCAATCAAATATTTACTAATATACTTCTTTCTATAGAACTTATTTCTATAGAATTTTTAATTTTATTAGAGTAAAAATCTTGATTAAAATCACTCCTATTAAAGAAATATGGCAATCTTTTAACTTAAAATATCCACAGGATAATGCCATTGTTAAGTTAATTCCATTGCTAGATGTCTTAATTTTTTATTGGATTATTATTATTAGTATTATTATTTTCTTTGGAAGGAAGTTTTAATTTCTTCTTTTGTACTGCTCTACTATGCTAAGCATTTTGGGAAGACTTGCTTTCCTAGCTAGCGTTTTTATATCTCTTGACTTCCTTTCTCAATATAATTATAAGGAGTTATAGAGGAATATGCATTCATATTGTACATTCTTAATAATCAAACGCTTATTAAGAAGTTTGTTCACTTTTTCGTTTGTAAGACGCGAAATACAAATAAAAGCAGAGAATCTTATGCATAAAGCAAAATGATATTGCCATTCATATTTTTCAGATTCATTATTAGTTATTACAAAGAAATGATGTAATAAATGTTATTCATGTTTCTAAGAAACATTTTTTGATATGAAAGATTTAAAATAATAAGCTTTTATTTAAATGAAATTAAAGTAAATAATTATAAAGTTACAATATATTAATTGCTATTTGTATTACTTTTATTATAAGGACATATATAAGATTGTGATTTTTAGTCTTAAATTTCTTACAAATTGTGTGAAATTTTAACTGTAAATATATTTCAAGGAATCTCCAATTATGGTAGTATCCAATTATAGAATAATTTTTTTCATTTTGGTGAACAAACTCCTTAAATAACATAATTGTATTAAATGTAAATACACATATTAAATATTAAACGATACAACAAAGTAACGGTGTAAGTATATCTATTCTATATTTTAATATATACTTCATATTTTATATTTTATATGAATATTATAAATAAAAATATAATCATAAACACACACTAACACAATAAAATCTGTAATGACAAAAAAATATATTCAAATTAATTATCGCGTACCTAAAACTAAACGAAAAGAATGAGGTAATATTTATATATATTATTTTTATAACTTGCACATAGTAACTAATGAGTTATTACAAATAATATCGAACTTTTATTCAAATCACTCAGTTTCCTCTACCAGTGAATCGATAATTGTATGTACAAATTGGCACTTGTTCAGCTTGCAATACCTTTTTTTTTTCATTTTAATAATATTATAGATTCCGATGCGTGGTCAACCGAGAATATATAATGAGTGTCAATGTAATACGATTAAATATTTTCTTTAAATTGTGCCAGATCGCGTGGCACATTTTTTTTCTTCTTTCTGTTTCACGGAACTAGAAACTTATAAACTATTACACATGGCTCTAAATATATGTATATAACGACTACGGACGGTAGCTAATCGCACGTCCTGAACCGCGTTGAATGGCTACTTCTTCCTTTTCTCTCTTTTGTTAAATCACTTTATTACATTGAACACAATGATATCGAAATTCTTATTTATATTTAAACTTTAAATTTCAGTATATTAATTGGTAGCTGTTTATTATTATTATATATATATATATTCCAATAAATTAAGCGGAATGCACAAAATAATTATTGAGACAGTATACATACATAAAAATATTGAAATATATGATTTTATAAAACTGAAAAATATTTTTTGCAATATAAATGTAAGCATGAAATATAGTGTACCGTATAATATAGTAACTATTGTACGAAAAGTTATTCATTGTATAATAATACGTTCGAAATATGGAATAAATTTTTTTTACAATGTTTAGTCTATGAGAAAAATGATTTTGAAAATAGAGAAATTAATAATATCTATTCTTTTAAGCTTTTGAATAGTATTTTTAGCAATCTTTATAATCGATTATATTTATTTTGTAATCATCTTTTCAATTGTACTACGAATCACCAATACATTCTCTTGTAAAATAAATCAAAACAAGAAAACATTTAACAATTCGTTAAAGAATATTTTTAAGAATTTTGAAAAGAGCACAAAGGATTCTTGGCAGTGATTTAATAGGCTTATTTTCCATTTGATATTCATTATCAATTTTGTACATTAAAATCATTAAATGATTTAAGAGAGATTATAATTTTCCTTTCTAAATTTTCTCTCTTCTCTTTTTAATATTTTTTTAATTGTTACTTATTGCAAAAGCGCGAGTGATTTCTTAGAACGTAATATTAGCAACTTGAAAAATTGAACAGAGTTTCAGAATCAAAAATGGTCTAACTTAAAATATAAATTTAAGACTTCAAAATAAGTAAAATAGGTTGTGTAAAGATATCCATACAAATGCCTTTAAGAAATATTAACATCTAAAACAATCATATTTAAGAATGATAAATGGAATTATTATATAGCTATTAATCTAAACTTATTTAATTATATATAGATATAAATATTACAAAAATACAATGAAAAATTGCTATATTAAAATATTTCTCAATTTAAATGATAATTAAAACGAATTAATAAGAATCGAGTATAAGGCAAACAGTGCAAAAAATAATATAACTTCCTGATTAAAAAAACTGATCTTGAGAAAATTGTTCGAGAGATGATTTATATCAAACAACAAAATATAATAAAATAATGAAACAGATTATATATTAGTTTATTATAACCTGATAATATATATAATTTCATAAAATATATATTAATATATATATTTTAAATATTTAGATGTTAATATCTCTTGAACAAGAAAATCGTTCGCGGATGTCTAGAAAATCTTTTTTTGTTATTTTAGGATTACAAATATTTATTTTTCAAGTTAGAACACTAATCCTGGTACTCTGTATATTTATGAAACGAACAAACGTTATTTATTGCGATCTTTTCTTTTATTTTTTCTGATGAAATAAATGTTAAATTAATATCTTATTAAATGTCGCTTTATGCATTCCACCAATAGCAAGCAGCTGATTATCATTGCGATGCATTCATAATTGTTTCTTAGGCACAGCCATGGGCAGTGCTTTTTCACGAATTAAAAAAAATAATTGTCAATATTTATAATTGGAACAAGGTATATCTTTAGATTGTCGCGTTTTAAAAATACGTATTTTGGCGTAATCATAAAATAAATCGCGCTAATCGCTCGTCTCTTAATTCATGATTACATTGATTCGCTAACGAAACGTAATGTTATCGCACATTGTATGCATTGTGTCTAAAATAAAAAAACGCGCAAATATTACACGAGCAAATAAAATGATTTCATTTGCGCGATAAGAGATAACAAAGCGTATATCTCCACTGGCGTGCAGATTCGCGGTTTCAGCTAAACTTGAGGTAGACCAAAATTTAGGAAAGAGGAAAAAGGGGGAGAGTATCGTCGATATAGATAATGCAGCAGCAAAGAAATCTTTGGCAGTATAGATTTTGCACCATTTTCTCAAATTGATTCCAAGTTCGTTCGCCCGGTCGCCGTCCTTTAATTCATATCGTCCAGCATTACTTTGCGCCTGGTATTTTTCCTAATACCTGAACATACAATAACAATTAGCCGTAGCAGATAAATCTATTTGCTCACGCTTATGTAAGCATTGTCTGGATATACTTCGAGATACATGTCACTGGACGTGGAGATTGCCAAGTGACATGTATGTTTTACTGAAACAGTAAAACATACATGTCACTTGGCAATCTCCACTTTATTTTAAAAAAAATGAAAAAATATAAGTAAACTTACTTTAGAAAGATCTACACCAGTCAATGCATGTACAGCTGGAGGTACTTGCCCTACGAGACGCGTAAATTCTCCGCTAGTCGCGTCGCTTCCGCCGAGAAGCACAATTTCTTCTGTTCTCGCCAATGGCGCCGCAACTTCAGCTGCAATCTGTAAAAGAAAGAAATATCATGGTTCGCAAATTAATGTATATTACAATATGCAAAGAATATAAAATGTAATACTCACCTTTGGCAAGGCATTCAAAGTGATATTGAGTATAGCCGCTTCACCGTACTTCTTATAAACCGCTGCTTTCATTCGCATACGCTCTGCTTCCGATACACCGACAGCTTCGAGAGCATGAGCCTCGGCTTCGCCAATTAATCGAATCTTTTCGGCTTCGGCTTTTGCTACATTCACAGTCTGAGTTCTGAAAAAAAAATTTTAATATTACATAAAAATTATATAAACGTTATGTAAGGTGAATCAACTGTCATCTGAAGTAATTTATTATTTTATAATTTTATAAAAAAAATTGTTTTATATAAAATATGTTGTGCACAACATATTTGATAATGGTTATGTAATATATTCGGTGTGTAATATATTGTGTGTAATATGTTTAGTAAAGTTCATTAAACGGAATACTTCAATTTTTTTACTTTCTTATATTTTTCAAAATGACAAGATAATGTTCAATTTTTTAGTATTTACAAAAAAAATCTTGTAAACCTGTCATTTAAAAAAAATGAATCGATTAAAAAAAAAAATAAATTTATTGCATATGCATTTAATTACATTCCATTTGTATTATTTTTTAATTTTTTATTTTATTATCTCAAAAACTTTGAAGTTACAAGATATTAAAAAAGTTGTTAAAGCTTTTTTAGCTAATTAACTGAGTATTTCAGATTTTCTTATTTCTACTTTTATATGAATTTATGATAATTTTGCTAAAATTAATGATGTGATATGATGAGATAATAAGATTTTTTCCTGCGTTTAATAACTACATGCGAGAGGTCTTTACCTCTTTCCCTCGGCTATTCTTCCCATTTTATAATATTCAGCTTCGGCTGGTAATCGTACTGTGCTTTGAAGTTCGTGTTCTTTTCGGCGAACTTCTTGCTCTTCAACTTCGATTTGCTTGCGCCTTTCCACAACTTCTATTTGTATCTCTTCATTTCGTATCCGTTGTTTTATTTTCGCTGCTTGAAGTTCATAAGCCAACTGAGCCTCGGCTTTCTAAATAATCCAAAAAGAATAAATATATAACGATAATCACACACGATAGAAACTGATAACATTGAAAATAATCAAATTTTGTGAAAAATACTTACAGCTGTGTTTACTTCTTGATCAAAATTAGCTTTCTGTAATTGATAGAGTCTCGCGTTGTCCTCTATCTTTGTATCAGTATTATATTTTATGTCCATTGCCGATTTCTCACATTCTGCTTCCTGTTATGGAATAATGAAAAATATTACGAGATTAATTAAAATTACATTAAAGAACAACTTGCGAAATGTATAATGTTCTGCCATTTGCAAATATTTCGACTAACTCGATCTTTTTTTAATGAGAAGAAAAGGAAAGATCATAATTTTATTTAATTTCTAACTTTTCCAACATTTAATTTTCACCATACTACATGTATGTAACTTAACAAAAAAAAATTCTTATTCGCAAATATATATATATACACACTAATATCAGCTAATACCGATACATACTCTAATACCAGCATCTCGATTTGCTTCGGCGACACCAACATCAGCATCTCTTTTAACAGCAGCTGTCTGAGCTTTTCCTAGTGATATCAAATATTGAACATCATCGTAAACGTCTTTTATCGTGAATGAAAGGATTTCTATGCCCATACGACCAACATCTGGCGCGGCAACTTCTCGTACAAGAGCTGCAAATTGGTCTCGGTCCTTGTAGACTTCCTCCACAGAGAGCGTACCTGAGAAACAATGTATTCTCTTTTAAAATTATTAGAATAATAGCTTTTAATTTATTAACGAAATATATAAATAAATAATTAATTATTTTTGAGAATGCAACTTCCTTATTGATTTATAAATGTTGAGAGTGGTCAAATGTACCTAATATAGCTCGTAAGTGACCCTCCAAGGTGGATAAAATAGTTGTTTTGATCTCGTGGACGCTCTTTCCAAGAAATTGTTCGCTGGCAGTGTGCAACAATTCGTCGGCCTTCATGATTTTACACTGAGCTACTCCGGTGACCGTTAATGGTACACCTTGCGCAGTTTCTACGCTCTCACACACCGGATTTAGAGTCATTACTTCCAATGACAGTCGTTGCACATCAGTGACAAACCACCAAGTGAATGCGTATCCGCCGACGATAGTCCTTTTCCTCATCGAGCCGCAACATCCTCCTGAAGCATGAAGACAAGAAATTTGTATATGTGTTATGACCGAAAAAAATTTTATTATATAATGTTAAACTCTTGGAAACTTCTTTTATGATAATTATATTCTAGAGATTTTTTAAAAAATAACAAATTTATTATTGAAATCAATTATTTACGATAGTTATCTATTTGATATATGATATTCCATTAAATATGTAATTGTTAAGAATATTTATTTAAATCGTGTTACATACATCATCGTATACTTATATATATATATATATATATATATATATATATATATATATATATTGATGATATTTTGATAAATTGTAAATTTATCATTTTTTAGGTAAATATATATATTTAGATAAATATATGACATTTTGATGAATTCTAAATTTATCAAAAAATATCATCAAAAAATTGGCACTTGGAATATGAAATGATGTATAAGATGAGATAAGATCACACAAAGACAACAATAATAAAATCTAAAAAATATATGTATGATATGGAATATAATTCAAAGAACACATTTATATTTGGATTTTAATTACAATCATATGACATAACGTCACACAAAGACAACAATTATAAAACCTAAAAGATACTTGCGTGATATGAAATACAATTCAAACAACATATATCTGGAGCTTAATCACAATTGTCTACATATTGTAATACAATGAATCATTGAAAAACATTTGGAAATCGTTATATTCTTAATTTTCTTTATTTTAAACATTTTCTTCTAAAATTTTAGGATGTGATCAAATTCTAAATTGTATTTTATTATTCTATTCCATTGCACGAATCTTTAAATTATCAGCACATGTTATTTACATTTTTATCGATTTGACAATATACTATTACATTGTTAATTATTATATTATTGATGAATAACGCTGTGTATATGGAATATATAAATTAAAAGGTGATATGCGATTATATAAATTTAATTCATATTAATTCAATTCGTTAAATTCATATTAATTTAAATATTTAAATTCATTAAAATTCTATCTATTCACCCTCTGATTAAAAGAAGTGTAACCTTCCACCTTTAAAGACAGTTTAAAATTAATTTTTTCGTCGCGTAAATATATATATATATATATATATATATATGTATGTATAAGAAAGTTGATTTTTTTTTCATATGATATATTTATATATTCTATTTTCTAGTATATTTAGTAATTATCTATAATATGAAGAAAAAAATATAATGCATGATTTAAATATAAAAATAACTATTCTATTTAATTTTTGAAATTTATGGGACATTTCTGTTGACTTACTGAAAAATTATGCTATTAACATATTATATACAACTTCGATTTCATATAAATGTAGCTGTGTATTATGATATATAACTGTGTATTATGATATATGATTTTTTTTCAAATAATGATGTATAAATATTTACATGGACATTGGGACATTAAAAACTCGTGGTGTCATTTTTAAAGTTAAAAACATTATAAAAAATCTTACTCTTAGTCAACATATAAATTAAAAAATAATATGCGACATAAATTTAATTCATGTTATGAATTATAATAAATATATGTCAGAATAAAAAATCGAATAATATAAATAAATCATAGTACATAAATTATACTCGAATCTTCTCCCCAATCTCGTACATTTTTCACCCTCATAGTATATAAAAAAATCTTTAATTTAATAATTAATAATCTAATCTAAGAATTTAATTGCAAATTATGAGACAAGAGTAACAATATAGTAATCTACATTAAATACAATAGAATTATAAATCTTTATACATAAAAAATATTTTAGTACAACAGTATATAATAAAATAAAAAATAAAATAAAATAAAAAATTGATTTTAAAATAAAAAATTAATAATTAATAATATGGAACTTTTTATCAGAACATGCATACATTATAAAATATGCATATATGTATGTAATATATATTACGTCAAATTTATTTCATGTGCATGTGTGTGTATATTTTATCCTTAAATCAGAATATAACAATGCTTAATCAGTGTGTTCAAGGAGGTGATGTTTTTGGTGGACTAAGCTGTTCTTTTATCACATACGTAATAGTGGAGCGCCCCTCTTCATATATCTAAAACATAAACCGCACAGAGTTTATTTTCTCTCACAGTATAAATTGTACACCCGTCAACAGGGTAACTCTGACTGAAGTTAAAAGGGCCTCCCGCAATACAAATCAGAAGGACTTTATTCGGTAAGAATTTAAAAAAATTACATAGAATATGTGTAGCGCTAACTAAGAAAAAAATACTGTCCGTATTTTATATGCTTTAAGCATCTTAAACATTAGATTCAATTATGAAATTCTTTATTGTATAAAAAAAGAAAATTTTATAAAAATTAAGAATTTAAATTCTGTATATATATATATATATATATATATATATATATATATATATATTGCATGACATTAAGAATTAGAATATATTTATAATTTAATATAGATACTTTTATTGAAAAATATTCGTGAATATTACTATCCTTTAGAAATTATAATTTGCTGATTTAAAGAAAAAAGTTTAGGCAATAATAATAATAAAATTATATATATATATATATATATATATATATATATATATATATATATATATATAATAAGTGCGATGGCAAAACGATATTCTCTCTAATGATTAAACAATGTAAAAAATAATATTTTAAATGTAACGTTACATAGATAAAAGTCTAATATCTTCTCATCATTTCATATTTTGGTGTGTTATAAATCACTGTAATCACTGTAATCCTTTATTTACGCACGTTTCTTTAGCGTTTCTACAAATACTAATTTAAACAAATATTAATTTAAAAAAAAGATAAGACAAATATTAATTTAAAAAATAAATATAATTTATAAATGTCATAAGTAGCTTACGCATATATATGTGTATTTTTCAATAACATATAATCTAGAACTCAATAAATTAAATTAATGTCTGTACTAACGATTGCGAAAAACACTCGTGAAATCTTCCTTGACAATTTTTTACTCCGATTAATCAAGTAATAATTAATTGTTTTTAGGTCATCTTTTTTCATTCTTTTTTGCTTACAAGAAATTTGTTAATAATTTGTCAAATATAAAAAAATTGGAGTATTGTAAACATCTATATTCTCCATTCTTTTTTTTTAAGTGATAAATTTGTCAGTGTTTTCCTCTACATTAATCTATGCAATATAAATCCTACTCGGAGTGAAGCGATGACGTCACACCATATGTGTTCTTTTTGTCGACGAAAAGAAATATATTCTTGACCACACGTGATTTTCTCGAATAATATACAGGGTGTTTCATAAGTGGTGGGCAAAATTTCAGGAATGGATTCCTCATGCTTAGGAAAGAAAAAAAGTTAATCAACATAGGTCCGGAAATGATTAGTTTTTGAGTTATTAAGATTTTTGTAATACAAAATTTTGTCTCATTTCTCGTCTTCGAAGTACTTATTTTCTTAAAAAATATAATAAAATAATTGTATTCAATAAATTATATATAACAAAATTACTGTGTGAATAATAATATTTATATAAATTCAAATTCTCGCACAACTACATAATTTATAATTCATTATTATTTATCTCTCTTCCATGCTGAATTAATACATTTTTTGTCACCTTTTCTTTTTTGTTTTCATTTTTTATACTAATAATTGAAATAAAAAATAAATATCATTTTCTTTTTTTATCTTCATTTCTTCTACTAATGTCCTCTTTTCTTCTACTAATAATTGATCTTTAACTTGCAGACATGCGATGGTACTTTTTCTTGCTAGCCTTCGCGCATTATGTTTTTGCTATTCCTATCAAAACATATCAGGTGAGTAAAATAGTCTTATTGTTAGTATTAAAATGTAAATTCGAAATTTAAATACTTTATGTGTTTTCTTTCTTATCCTGATTATAATACTTATTAAATTATTGTAATCTTATTATTCTATCATTATGTACTTAGCTTTAGTACAAATGATATTTATGTGAACAATTTTATTAACATAATCATTATAAAATTAGAAAATAAACGAGAACATGCATTTCATTGGTTTAATTTTGTATTTTAATAATTGTATTTATAATCTTGTATTTTCAAAATATATCACTTTTAATATTTTATCATTTCCTATTCAAAAACACATGCTTAAAATAATTGTAACATACAAAAAAATATAAGAGTTTGAAAACAGAGAACAAAAAATGAAATGAAGGATACTTGCAATCACACAAGATTAATGTGGTTATTATATCGTATAATTGCGTGAAGAGATATTTTTTATAAATTATATTAATCACTGCAATTATATTTATATTATCGTTTGAATGCGTTCATTTGTATATATTTACATATATTATTTCTCTGCTACTTAAGAGAACACTGACTATGAGATGTAGAAAAAGTATTTATAGCTGCATTATAGCTTATATTGAATTTAGTAGCTATGAAAAGTGTATCTTAGTAACAAATATATGGCAATAATTCAAGCAATAATTATAAAAATGCTGTTACCATATAAGTTAAAGTTAAATGTTGAACTATAGATGCAATAGTCTGTCGCAAAACATTTTTCTTACACACTTGAGAGTAGGCACAATCATTAAAACAGCTTTGATTGCAGTTGCTCAATAACTTTGATTGCTCTGCCCGATTGCAAAATGTATATTTTTTTGCATGATGTATGTTAACATAAGTCTACAAAAACATGAATTTTTGTAAAAAATTATTTCATAATAAACGAATCATTAAAGCAGCTTTGATTGATGATTGCAAAATGTATATATTTTTTAAATGTATATTTATGATGTAAATTTTTAAATAAATATTTATGAATATTTTTAAATGATTATTTACGAGAACTTAATCTTCGTAAGCATTGATATCATAAAATGCATATACAAGCATTTTTCTACGTACGTGAATTTTCGGAGCAGAAATTTGCTTAGACTGCAAACTTTTGTTTAAAAAAAAAAAATTTTTACTCGCCCGTTTAAAACAGTTATTATTTCAGCCAGATCAAGCAATCAGCAGCACTGCAATCAACAGATGTTGTTCTTGCCAGTTTGAAGATACGCAATACACGAATTATGGTTGTGGAGACATCAGTACTTTTATGACGCTAGTTCAAAATGTGATGTCTTCTAGATGCGATATTGCTGACCCTTGTCGACGACTGGGTAGGGACGAACTACCGAACGAGAATAAATGGTATAAGATCTATAAGATTTTCCATAAGATGGTTTTTTGCAATAAATTATGGATACACATCATCTTCACTTTGAAAATTCTTTGAAAGATTCCTTGTTGTCTATTATTAAAAATAGTAAATATCATCAATAAGATTTTCCATAAGATGGTTTTTTGCAATAAATTATGGATACACATCTTCACTTTGAAAATTCTTTGAAAGATTCCTTGTTGTCTATTATTAAAAATAGTAAATATCATCAATGTCTCTTATAGGTTTGATTTTATAATCATCGGCGCAGGTGTGGCAGGATCAATAATTGCGAGAAGATTGAGCGATAATCCATGGCGAAAGATTTTGCTTATCGAAGCTGGTCCAGAAGAACCTACTATGACAGCAATACCAGGACTTGCGTTTCGTGCTGTCAATACGTCTCTCGATTGGAATTTTAAAACGGAACCAACATCACCGCATCCTACTGCCTGTTTAAGTATAGAATACATTATCCTACAATACATTATTTGATCTACGGTTTTTCACATGAATAATAAATGAACTTCAGAGTTATAATCTCTTTACAAACCAACGTAAAGATCTTTTATTAATTTAAATGTACTCAGACTTATTATTTAAAGGTTTCGGATTTTTTATGACATTAAAATTATTAAATATTTATTATTTTTATATTTTAATAGATATTATACAATTTCAAGACGATATATAATTTTTTGTTATTTTCTTAAATAATTTTAATATTATTAAAATAAAAAATTGGATAGACAAATAAGTTAAAAAAAAATTATCTATAATCTTAAAATGTTTTAAATACGTAAGATATATTTTTTAGATACGAATGTTATTTAATTGTAAATAGTTACTATTAATATTATTTACTGACATATTTCTGTAATAGCATTTTTGTCGTAAATGGGACATTAATAGATCAATGTGTTGGCATCCTTTTAGAAACAGGCGGTGTCTGCACTTGGCCAAGGGGTAAAATGATTGCCGGAACTGGCGGCTTCCACGGTATGATGTACGTTCGAGGTCATCCTGAAATTTATAATCGTTGGGCGCAGGCAGGAAATCCTGGCTGGTCTTATGATAAACTCAATCGTTATTTCGAACGGGTGGAGAACCCGGTCGATCCGCTAATTTTATCGAACAAACACAGGAGTCTAAAGGAAGGAGGTCCGATTAGTATTCAGTATTTTCCGCATAAACCAGAGTTCGCGGATGTGCTATTGACAGCTGCCAGTGAGCTGGGCTACAGGACTTCCCAGTTAAAAGAATACAATCAAACTGGTTTTATGATTGCACCGATGACAATCGAGAATGGTATGCGTCTCACGACTTCAAAGGCATACTTGAGGCCCGTTTCCTACCGCAAAAATCTGCGAGTATTAACAAACGCACAAGTTACCAAAATTCTAATTAATCCTCGGGAACAGAAAGCTTATGGCGTGGAACTGCTAGATAAGAACGGCCAGAAGAAAGTGGTGAAATGTGGCAAAGAAGTGATCTTGACAGCCGGTGCTATAGGCTCACCGCATATTCTTATGAACTCTGGTATAGGACCTGAAAAAGATCTCGCTGAGCTCGATATTAAAATTTACAAAGACCTGCCAGTCGGCCAAAATTTGCAGAATCATGTGTCGGTGGCGGTTCCTATGAGCATCAAAGACATCCCGTACGAGATCATGACTATGGATGCCGTAAATGAGTATCTAGACAGCAAAACCGGCCCACTGGCTAGTACTGGTGTTACTCAAGTCACTGCTTTTCTTGAGAGCAACTATACAATTAACGGCGTGCCGGACATACAAGTCTTCTTCGACGGTTTCAATTCCATCTGTCCGAAAACTGGTCTGCCGAATGAGTGTATTGACGGTAGAATCGATGATTGTACGGATAGAAGACCAATCGTAGCAAGACCTACGGTGGTTTACGTAGAAAGTCGAGGCAATATAAAACTCCGATCAAATAATCCTTTGGACCCACCGTTAATTTATCCGAATTATTTCACGAATGAGAAGGACTTAATGGTCTTGCTTGAAGGTATCAAAAAAATCAGCAAGCTTGTCGACACACCCGTAATGAAAAAGTGGGATCTTCGTTTGGAACAAGTGAGAAGTTCATTATGCAACGAGTAAGTATTATATTATTACTCAGTGAACAAGTGTACGTAATATATTAGCAAATTAGCAACTATGTGATACTTTAAGTTTCGAGAGAGATCATTTGCATTATGGAATTTAATATTTATAAAATATTTCTAGAGTATCTGATCCATTTAAATAATATTTAATAAAATCATTTTTCTTTAACAAAAATAATGCAAACATGTAATCAATTGAAATTAAAATAAAAATAATTGTTTAAACACTGAACGGCAATAGTTAATAATAAGAATTAATTCACTTTCATGAGAATAAAATTTAACAAAGAAGACACACAGGGCTTTTACACAGGGTTTTCTTGTTCTTCTTTTAAAACGATAAAAGATAAAAAAAATTATTCACACTTAAATATTAATTTATTAATATTATTTGTAAATTTTTTATCATATTTTTAATTTTATTAGCTATCATTTCGGTACGGATGCCTTTTGGATGTGTCAAATTCGCGCAGAAACAGGACCGGAAAATCATCAATCTGGAACGTGCAAAATGGGACCGAGTACCGATCCAACCGCGGTAGTGGATTCAAAACTTCGAGTACACGGTATAGCGAATATTCGGGTTGCCGATGCTTCTATTTTTCCTATTTTGCCAAACTCGAATCCCATTGCTGGTATCATGATGGTAGCAGAAAAAGCAGCCGATATGATTAATAGTGTTTAGCCACAGAAATTTTAAATATAACATGCAATACGTTATGTAATGTATAAAAAATACTCTAAAAAATTATTGAACGTTCTCTTAATGACAAATTCTTTAGTCAATAGGAAATTATTTTTTTTTAAGTAAAAATGTGCAAGAAATCATTTGCAATTTTTTATTCTTTGTATGTCTTTTCAATTAAATTAAAATTTTAAATAAAAATTTTAATTATTAATACTTAACATTTGTATTAAAAAATTGAATAGTGAAATTGAATATTAACAAAATAAAATATATATTTAATAGTTTTCTCGCATAAGAAATTTCTGTTGATTGTTTTTTAATATAATTGTGGAACACATATACAACAGATTTTTTCTACAATCATATTAGAATACATATACATACAAATATTTAATTAAAATATACAATTACAATTATATTTTATATATAAATATAAAAATTTTAATACTTTTAAGATATAATAATGAAATGATTAAATTTTTTATAATAAAAATTGTATTTATTTTTATAATTTAACACAATTATTTTACCACTTTTATACATAAGTAACTAAAATTTAAGTAGTAAAATAAAGCAGTGAATTTATATTAAACACTTCTTTATTCTATTGATACAGCCGCTTGTTGATCACGTAGAAGAGAGAAAGTGCGCAGGTAACTCGTATATGTGTCTTTCTGTTCGTGTATTGGCCATGAAAGCAAAGAGAAAGACGTTGACATGGTGTCATACATAAAAAAAAGGAGAGTCTTTCAGCGTGATTCATATGCGAGAGAAAAAAAATGATGCGTTGTGTGCATAGATCTCTAGATATTCATTAATGTTCATTGCAAAATCACATATTAATATCGAGGATAATACTATTATTTATACTTTATCTCGCAGTCTCACGACAAAAACATTGATATTATAATCATATTAATAAGCATAGCAAGAAAAGTTTATTTGAAAAAGATGTTTTTGCATAGTTTTTGTATTAGTCTTAAGACAGATTTACTAGAGGTCCATTAATTTTTACCTATACTGATGTCATATATGTAAAAAAGGAGTTTTTCAGCGTAATTCATACGAGAAAGAAAAAATGATGCGTTCCATAGATCTCTAGATATTTATTCATTAATATTCATTGCAAAAAATTACTTACCATATCAAAACAAATCTTATTTACCAATATCGAGGCTCTTGCACTTTATCTCGCAACCTCACGACAAAAATTTCGTTTGATATTATAATTGATATAATTATATTAATAAGCCCTTAGCATGGCAAGGAAATCAGCATAGCAAGAAAAGTTTATTTGAAAAAAAGTTTATTTTTGCATAGTTTTTGTGCAGTCTTAAAACACAGATTTAGAGCAATGAACTTATGGAGTTACTAAATTATCATACGACGTTGGCATTGAAAGGCTACTACTAGGGGCCCAACTGGTTTTCACTCTGCACATTCACCAGCGTACTACAGTCTGCTTCTTACCGGTGCTAGTCTCATTTCGCTTATAATCATTTTGCCGGTTCGTCATTGAACACTCGAACACTTTTTGACAAAGTTTATCAGGCAGATCTGACTTAATATTGTACATGCAGTATAGAATACAATCGATGATTCAGGTGTGATGATTCAAGTGTATGACCATAAGCATCGAGAAAGTGCTGTTAATACCACGAGAAAGTGTAATATAAGTCTACGCAGATATCAATAAGAGAATGGAGAAACTAATAGGACATTATTGAAAAATAAATACAAAAATGTATGCAAGTGACGAATTAATTCTCACGTTGACAGCCATGATAATTATTACAAAGATATTCTTGTGATGATATCTGCAAATGTGTCACCTAACAGATTTGAACGATGTTGAAATGTCACATGTAGTTACAACTATAGTTTGTTGGATTATGTAAGCTGTTGTCAAAGAGCAAAAGGTAAGAATACACGTAACATCATAATTATAGATGCTAACTGTGTGTACAATAATAATTTTACAAGGCAATTTTTTCACAAGGCAAGTTTGAGTTCTGTGATCCAGTTTTGTTAAAATATAAAATATCACATAATAAAACAAAATTTCTAATTTAGTATTTCAATTTTATCTCATTCTATTATATGCATGTAATAATATGCTTTGCATATATTGTATGTGTATATCTATGCGTGCAGTCAATTTTAAAATACTTAATTGTCTAGATGTTACGTGTGAAAAATCTCGTAAATTTTATGCAATAGATATTTTACGATTTTATTAAGAAATATCTCACATAGTAAATCTTACATACAAAATGTTAAAATATTATATAAGAGATATATATTATGTTTATTATATTATACAATAAAAATATTTTAATATAATTTTGTACATCATTGTCTTATGAGATCAATATATTCATTAATAAATAATTTATTTATATGATATTTATAATATATATAATATATAGACTTTTTATGGATTCAACAATAGCCTTTTTTAATGAAATTTTCATAAAAAGTCTTTTAAACAGAACCTTTTAACAAATAGAAATTATGCATCATATGTGATGTTCTATATCAAGGATTTTATATTAATATGTAGCAAATCAAGAATGAGAAATATTTGTCTTTTATAGAGAATATATAAAAAATTACATATAATTTTTTAATATAATATAAACATGTAAAATATAACAATCTTTCATATAATGTTTTAACATTTACTGATATAAACCAATCTTTTTAGAAAAAGACTGATTTAATTTTGCATACGCACGTCAAGTCGAGTGGAAATCCCAAGACCTTAATATTTTATTAAAAAACTACACTACGATAAAGAATAAGCAAGAAGAAAAGAACAACTTACATGTAATATTGAAACAAATAAGCATTTCGTTTTTGTTAGTAAAGTTAATTAATAATTTACTTTCAGGAGACTTATTTGTTCTACTAACGCTTGAAAGAATAATTGTCGGATGACATGCATTTAGATATCATTTGGACTACTGATGTTTGGCGGTGGAAATAAATGGAAATGGCTTCAATATTGACCAATTTATTCGGCACTTCTGTTCTTGGATTCAGTTTAATTCCACTTTTAGCAATCGGTCTTACTGTATATAAATACAACAGTCTCGATCCAGAATCACACCCAGAAAATACACAAGAGGTATAAAAAAATTAAAAAATGTTATTAAAAAGGGAGAGGAAAAAAATATAAAAAAAGAAAAGGAAAAAAAGAAAAAAAATATATAAATTTGCGACTACAAATAGCGAAAAATTAATTCATAAAATTACATTTACAAGAAAAAAAAAGTCTATAAACTTGTTACATTACTGCGTCAATTACTATAAATATCTGAAAGAAACATGAACGCGCTCTCTCTTTCTTTATATACGTATCATAGTCAAACTTAAAAATACTCGAGTATCGGAAACATAATAAATTACAATGCGATTTCAGTTGCTGCAAATATACGATTTCATAGTGATTGGAGGTGGAAGCGCAGGTGCCGTGATCGCCTCGAGATTGTCAGAGATAGCTAATTGGACAGTGTTACTCTTAGAAGCTGGCGATGACGAAAACGAAATTTCGGATATACCCTTGCTTGCCGGATATACTCAGCTCTCAAAATTTGATTGGAAGTATCAATCCTCACCATCTACCACCTATTGTCTCGCTATGGTAGGTGACAAGTGTAATTGGCCACGCGGCAAAGTTCTGGGAGGAAGCAGCGTTCTCAACGCTATGATTTATGTTCGTGGTAATCGGCAAGTACAAATACCACTTCCATTACTAGAATTATCACGTTGGAAAAATATGTGTCAAGTTGAAAATTAACGATGAAACGAAAATTGAATATTTGTTTTAGACACGATTACGATAATTGGGCTCGATTAGGTAATAATGGATGGAGTTATGAGGAAGTGCTTCCATATTTTCTCAAATCCGAAGATAATCGAAATCCATACTTAACAAGAACACCTTATCATGAAACAGGAGGTTACCTGACTGTACAAGAACCACCCTGGAGAAGTCCTTTGGCAATCGCTTTCTTGCAAGCTGGGCAAGAAATGGGCTACGAGAATCGCGATATAAACGGATTCAATCAAACTGGTTTCATGTTGTCGCAAGCAACGATTCGTCGTGGCAGTCGATGCTCGACGGCGAAGGCTTTTCTACGACCGGTAAAAAATCGATTGAACCTACACATAGCGATGCACACTCAGGCTTTAAAGGTGCTCTTTAATGCCGAGAAGAGAGCAATAGGCGTAACATTTCTTCGCGATGGAAAACAAGGAATCGTGAGATGCAGAAGAGAAGTCATCTTATCCGCTGGCGCGATTAATTCGCCTCAATTGCTTATGCTGTCTGGAATCGGTCCCAGCGAACACTTGACTGAGTTTGGCATACCAGTGATATCCGATCTACGAGTTGGAGATAATCTTCAAGATCACGTAGGTCTTGGTGGACTCACTTTTCTTGTGAACGAGCAAATCACTTTGAAGAGGGAACGCTTTCAGACATTTTCGGTGATGCTCGAATATATCGTAAAAGAGAAAGGACCTATGACCACACCGGGAGTCGAGGGACTGGCTTTTCTTAATACCAAATATGCCAACAAATCTGGTGATTACCCAGACGTGCAATTTCATTTCGCGCCAAGTTCCGTCAACTCGGACGGCGACCAAATAAAAAAAATCACCGGTCTAAAAGATCGAGTGTATAATACTATGTATAAACCTTTGCGTAATGCTGAAACCTGGTCAATTCTACCGCTTTTGCTGCGGCCCAAGAGCACAGGGTGGATTAGGTTGAAGAGTAAAAATCCCCTGGTTCAGCCGGAAATTATTCCTAATTATTTCACACACAAGGAGGATATAGATGTTCTCGTGGAAGGAATCAAGTTAGCTCTGCAGGTATCTAACACCAGCGCATTTCAACGATTCGGCTCGAGACCTCATACTATTCGCATGCCGGGTTGTCACAAATATGCATTCAATACGTATGAATATTGGGAGTGCGCTTTGCGACATTTTACCTTCACAATTTACCATCCAACGAGTACTTGCAAAATGGGGCCGCAGAGCGATCCTACGGCTGTCGTGGATCCTCGATTAAGGGTTTATGGAGTTAAAGGTCTTAGGGTCGTTGATGGTTCCATAATGCCGACCATTGTCAGCGGCAATCCGAATGCGCCGATTATCATGATCGGCGAAAAAGCCAGCGATATTATCAAGGAAGACTGGCGGGTAAAAAAAAAGCGAAGTGTTGAAAGGGAACGAACAAGATTTTTTTTGTCGAAATAAAATTAAGATTTAATTTCGCATTTTTTAGATATAATCAAAATTATCGTGTGTGGAAAAACTACTAATTTAAAAAAATTTTTTTGTTATGTATAACGTTATTTTAGTTTTTTAAAGTTCTTTCGTTAATTTTTTTTACTTATGTGAATCTAATAGAGATCTTTCCCCCTTTTTTTCTCTCCCTCCTTCCTTCCCATCACTTCCTCTTTCTTCATTTCTGTTTGTCTTTCTCTCACCTTTTCACCCTCATTTTCTTTATGCACATGCATGTATGTGAAGAACTGTGTTATAATGTTTTAAATATATGTGAAAATCTAAAGATACATTTATAAGAAAGATCAATATGCTGTTTAATGCTTATAAAACATCAAATTAATTATATAAAAATATTTGAAAAATTTTCCTTTTTCGATATTTATAAATGTTAATAAATCACTAACTCTCTTTTCTTTCGTTGCCTCTTTCTCTTTTTAATAGAATATATTCTGTACTTTGTATATTAAAATATTACAAATACATTTAATGTGTTAAAGTCATTAAATTAAACACTTCAATAATAGGTGCCATTTCTTTTGTAATAATACGAAAAATATAATTTATTTTATTAAACTTATTAGAGAGATTTTATTGATCATTTACCACATACACAACATATCTTATGTATCCTATATATAATTTATTAATATGTTAATCCATATAATAATTTTATATTATTTTATATTATATTATATTTGATTATTTTCTATATTATATTATATTATATTTTATATTTGATTATTTTCTATATTATATTATATTATATTTTATATTATTTTACATTATAGTTTTATGGTAATTTGTGTGTGTGTGTGTGTTAATATCTCTCTCTTTTGTGTCAATAAAAATTTCTCACGAGTCAATTGGTTTTAACAAAATCGATAATAAAAAAATACATTATTCATTATTAAAAAAACAAAATTTCTCTCAAATTTAAAAGCGAACGTGAAAAAGATCAAAATCTCGGAGACAAGATCACATTGACTTTCAAATCGCAAGCGGACGAGTTAAACTTTATATAATACTGCTTCTCGTGTTAAAAATTATACGTGACGGAATGCACGTTTCACGCAGTCTTATTTTCTATTTCCGTTTCCTCGCTTTCTTATTTGTTAATGCACAATACAATTATAATGTAACATGGACATGCAACCTGTGTATCAATATAGATTTTCCGTCTTTTTGATTATTTAGATATAATTGAAGATATAATTGAAATCTTTAAATATCGCGCTTTCTCTCTTTATGTTCTCAATATGAAAAAAGGCGTTCTGTTATGGATGTAATTTGCTGTTACATTGATATCATGGTTCAATGCACATTACGCAGATTCTTCGGCAATTCTTCTACAAAAAGAAGTTGACATCGGTGAAAGTAATCAACTATCATTGCATATACATCGGACTAGTTTGTTAAATTTATGTACAAAAGTAGTTTATTTGATAGAAGAAAGTGCAATATCATTATATATTTTAATGATTATATATCAATTTTTTAAAATTCTATAATATAAAATATAATATAAAATTCTATAATATACTATCGTAATGAAAATAAACAATTCCCATATGTAAAGTTGATCTTCAGAAACCACATGTGAAGTTGACTGTTAGAAATTGGAAAATAATCTTAATTAAAATTCAAGGCCAACTTTTTCCCTGTCAAAATTCTATTTTATTTCAAATGTTTTTACCTGCCACAGGTTTAATTATCGAAATATCGGCAGGATTATTTGAAATGCAATACCCTATGTATATATAATTATATTGCTATTTATGAGCATCTCCTTTTAGACACATTACAATATTCTGTAAAAATATCTTTTTCTATAAAGTACTCTAAGAGAAATTAATAAATATCTTTATTCCTTATATGCTATATCTTGTAGATTATTTGCTCATCGCGGAAAAATATTAGACCATCGTATCCGATCATAGTGAGACTGTATTACCTCTTCTTGCGTACATCCTGTGTATAGATATGTATGTTTGTATGTATACAAGAAATAGCAATGTCGTGAGTACCGTTTTGTTACCACACTTCCGGTATAAGGTAGATGTGCGTATAGGTAACTACAGGAAGAAAATACTTTCACTACCAAAGTGCGACTGGGAGTCTTCAGGAAGAACAAGAACATTAGGTACAAGTGGGAATAACGAGGAAGGTGAGAGTGAAATGGATGGAGGTATATCGGTGCAGTACCGTAACGTTCTTCCGACTAACATTACTGGTTCTATCACAGTCATTCGACAATCGCCTCATTATCCGGCGAGCTCTCAATATTTCGACAATCTTTCCAGTAAAATTTTGACAGTAATGTTACACACGTTGCACGAAGTTTTTATCGCGATTGCAATTGTCATCGAATGATTCTCGTGATGAAAATCAGTGCAATCGTAATTGTTGGTAACTCTGTAACTCTTTCTGCTAAGTGAAAAATTCTTAGAGTGATTGTTCAATAATTACGTTTATTCATCAGCCAAAAGTGATCAACACAATGTTAAAAGGAGTGTAGATGAATATCATCAAGATTACAACATTAAGGAAATAATAGGAGTATGAATTGCGTTAAAGACATTATGTGTATGTGTAATATATTATATAAATGTAATTCTTCTTTTTTTTTTAATTACACGCATACTCTTATTACACACTTATTCTTTTCATTTATATGATAAAAAAATTCGTAAGATTATTCTAAACTAAAAAAGACTGCTTTAAACTAAAAATATCAATGAAGCTAATACTCACACAAAATTGTACAATGTTACTTATTTGTGACACATAATGTGTGCTGGATAAATTATCAATAAATTATAACATCAAATATTTAAATTTATTAAAATTCTATCTATTCACTCTCTGATTAAAAGAAGTGTAATTTTCTATTTTTAAAGACAGTTTAAAATTAATTTTTTCATATCACATCGCAAATGAAAATACAAGAAAGTCGATTTTAATATATTTGTATATTCTATTTTATAGCATATTTAGTAATTATTTATAATATGAAGAAAAAATATAATGCATAATTTAAATATAAAAATGACAGGTCTGTTTAATTTATGACATTTATGTGATACTTCTGTTGACCTATTGTAAAACATATTATGTGTAACTTTGAATTACGTATGATACGCATTATGATGCAAAATGATTTTTTTTGAATAATGATGTGCAAATATATACATGTCGTTAGAACATTAATTTTTTTGAACCTTAAAAACTAGTGATAGAATGTTTTGAATTAAATGTTATAAAAAAAACTATGATTCTTAGTCAATATACAAGTTTCTATAATCAATAAACTAATGTTGCTTTAATTTTGCTTTTTTCATCATAATACTATGTATTAGTAATTAAAAAAATTGATTTGAATACGTACAGAAACAAATAAATAACTTACTTAACATATATAATTTTATATATTTCTCGATTTATTATTTATTTTTTACGACAAAAAAATTTTAGATAACACTTACATGTACGTATAAGTTACTTTGCAAACACGTGTGAAATTGTTAAATCGATCACATAATCAGCAATAAGGTGGACCAAATTCGTTCTATCGTTTTAGCGAAAGTATTTGGTAGTGAAATTATTCACCGAAAGCTATTACATAAGTTACAAATTTTCACATCTTCGGTATAACATAAAAATTAACATGTAAACTTTCACTGCTTATACCTTGACATCTATTTTCACATTTTACAATTTTTAATCTTTTGAAACAGTTTAATCAGGCATCTTATTTTTACTCCAAAATTAATTATTTGAATCATGTAATTAATTTCACATGAAACATAAATATATCGTAAAATGCATTAAATAAAATCAATACTCATTCTAAACAAAGATATTTTATTTAAATCTGAAACTAATTTGAAACAAAGGACGTATACACACATATACATACGTGCGTGCTTAGGCACATTCACATTCTTATGTAGAAAACAGAAGAAATATATGTACACATATGATGTTAGTAATGTTATTATTATAAGTGCATAATTGCAACGTTTCCATTTTAAACGTATCATTTAACTGTTTCCAGTATACTGATATCATATGTGGCATCTTATTTGATGTAATTTGATATTATATTAATTAAATTCTTAACAATGCTCTTTTAGTTATAGATCTAAAAAGCAATTTTTGGAGAAGAATTTTAAGGAAAACAAGAATAATTTTCTCATTATTTTTCGCACAGGATATATGCAAAATTTGTCGAATGTATTTTCTACTTTATTGCGCCTTTCTCTGTGTTCTTATAATTTTATTTTTTTGCCATTATTTTTGGAATCCCCATCATACTAAAAAATTATTTTAGTACAAATGCTGTCCGTCAAGAATAGTAATTTCAGAAATTGTTTAATACAAGTGGCACTATTTCAATTATTCTAATTGTGCGTCAAAGAAAAAGATTTTTAAGGATACAAAAAAATATTTGTCAAAATGAAAGTTACAACAATAAAATTATTTTATATGTAAAATAATTATAGATATTCTCTCTCTCTCTCTCTCTCTCTCTCTCTCTCTCTCTCTCAAAATGTTATGAATTAAAAATTTCTTCGTATTTATTATTGTAATTAACTTGTGTTTCTTTCAATTTTTCGAAATTTTGTTCGTTCTTTTAAATTTTTACATATTAAAGAAAATCTATTCCAAGATAGCAATTTGAATAATCCATGGCACTTATTTCTTGTCAATATACTTTATATTTCGAATTAACAAATATCACCAATTTGCCAAATAAAAGAGAAGAAAGAGAAACGGAAATAGACAGCATAATATAACTCCACAAGTCGTCTTGGGAGGAAACAAGTCAAACAAAAGTTTACGCCAGTGAAATACTTTCTCCTTTCCCCGTTATGAGATCACCATTTCGTTTCTCCGCATCCGGACATAACGAGATATTTTGCGCTATTTACAAGTGGATCGAGTCGGCCACCAAACATCTCTCGTGGTTCCCATTAAATTTAATTCTATTTCGAGATGATACGTCTCGATAGGGCATGAGTATCTTTAATTCGCTAAGCAACTCTAACACTTCCTTGTTCCTCACCGCGTAATACCCACGCCAATTACTTTTCCTTCCGCGATCAGGAATATGTCGCTATTTTATGCCGTCACGAATAAACTTTCCATTATTTTTAATTATATTATCTTGTAGGTTTTAATTTTTTTTGTAAAGGTAATAAAAGATTATAATTTTACATATATTTTTTATAATGTTCTCATTAAAATCATAATAATTAATAATAAATTATTAATGTCTAGATTTCCTATTGCACAATTTTATAATTATAAAAATAAAAATATCGTGATAATAAGAATTTTTATAAGTGTGTCTAATGTCAAATTTTACATGGAAATTTATATGGAAATTGCATATCCATCTAAAAAGTCTAGTATATTATTTACATATAATCTTTGTGTGCAATTTGCAAATAATATATTTCGCAGTTATTTTCTATGGACTATAAATAAACATTATTGTGTCCGTTCATATTTATTAAGCTTTCAAAAATATTTAAGATTAATGAGATTCAAAAATATCTTTGTTATATTTATCTAAAATATCTATATTTAATATAATTTTCCATATATTTTCCAAATAAAGTGATTTCGTCGATTGAAGTGAAATGAATTTTGCGTAAAAATTTGTTTGCAAATCTGACTAAACTTTCTTCTAGTACTTTTTAACAATAAATATTGTTCACTTATAAATATCATTAATTTTGCAGGCACTGTACATAGATAGGTACTAGATTAATAGACAAAATTCGCTATGAAAATATATATATATATTGCCGTTAAATTCTTTTCTAGTTCCATATTCTAAAATTTAATTCAATATATTTCAATTCTTATTTTCAAATCGGAACATAGATTTTAATGCACAATTAATTTTTATATGCGCATGTACATATGCACGCACGCATATACATATACGTATACACACATACACATATACACGCATTACAAATTGAATTTTTTATTTAAATCAAAATATTTTTTTTAAAAACATTTTTCAAAAATAACATCGATATTTTCTGTCTATGTTTTTGTTCCATTATTTTTATTTAATTTTTTGTTATTGCAGGATGAATAATGATACAGCAAGAAATGATGTTTCATCGAAATTAATAGAAATATCATGAAGAATATATTTGATGTATCTTTGGACATTCACGGATCTGAAAAGATCGGCATGCGGTTACCTGAAGTTTCATTATGACAACCAATAAAAAAATTAAAGGGGAAGAGACAACAAGGATAGAATATTACAAAAAATTGGCGTAATAGAATTGCTTTCGTTAAAAATGGTTTTCAGTACAATAATAGTGACGTCAGCCTTGAAGGGTGCTATTAGCTTGATGGGTACAGGTTTATGGCTAGTGCCATTGTTAATCGCGGGCCTCTCTTATTATCATTATGATCAATTAGATCCCGAAAGTCGTCCTATCGATAGATATCCTCTATATTCTAATTATGATTTCATTGTGGTTGGCGGTGGATCAGCGGGAGCAGTAGTTGCCAGTCGGCTCTCAGAGATACCTGACTGGAACGTGTTATTATTGGAAGCTGGTCCGGATGAAAATGAAATCACGGATGTGCCATCTCTGGCCGCGTATCTGCAACTGACCAAACTGGATTGGAAATATAAGACTGAACCCACGGGTAAGGCTTGTCTAGCTATGAAAGGTGGCCGTTGCAACTGGCCACGTGGTAAAGTTTTAGGCGGTAGTAGTGTTCTTAATTATATGTTATACGTACGCGGTAATAGATATGATTACGACCATTGGGAGTCGCTAGGCAACTCTGGCTGGGGATATAAGCAAGTTCTTTATTACTTCAAAAAATCGGAAGATAATAGAAATCCATATCTACAGAAGAGTCCCTATCATGCAACTAATGGTTATTTAACAGTTCAAGAATCGCCATGGAAGACACCTTTGGTAGTCGCTTTTATTCAAGCGGGCGTTGAAATGGGATACGAGAATAGAGATATAAATGGCGAACGACAAACAGGATTTATGATATCTCAGGGAACTATTCGTAGAGGAAACAGATGCTCCACCGCAAAGGCTTTTCTACGACCTGTTCGATTGCGTAGGAATATTCATACGGCTATAAATAGCCATGTAACGAAAATCATAATCGATCCATTGACAATGAAAGCAATAGGCGTCGAATTCGTCAGAGACGGTCGCAAACAGATGGTGAGAGCGCGGAAGGAAGTAATATTATCAGCAGGTGCCATCAATAGTCCTCAAATACTGATGTTGTCGGGAATCGGACCAAAGGAGCATTTACGGCACATCGGTATTCCTGTTATTAAAGATCTTCGGGTCGGCGACAATCTTCAAGATCACGTAGGCATGGGCGGTTTGACATTCCTAATCGATAAACCAGTTGCTATAGTTCAGGATCGTTTTCAAGCGGCTCCGATGACGATGCACTACGTGGTCAATGGCAGAGGTCCCATGACGACCTTGGGTGGTGTTGAAGGTTACGCCTTTGTTAATACAAAATATGCTAATTATTCGATAGACTATCCGGATTTGCAATTTCACATGGCGCCAGCTTCTATTAATTCTGACGCGGGAGTACAAGTTCGGAAAATTTTTGGATTGACAGACGAAGTGTATAACACTGTATACAGGCCGATTACCAACAAAGACGCTTGGACTCTTATACCTGTGTTGTTGAGGCCCAAATCTCGTGGCACTATACGATTGAAAAATTCTAATCCCTTCCACAGTCCTCTTATCAACGCAAATTACTTTTCCGATCCAATGGACATCGCTGTTCTGGTAGAAGGTGTGAAAATTGCCATTAAAATCAGTGAAGCAAAAGTCTTCAAGCAATTCGGTTCGAGAATTCATCGTATCAAGTTGCCAGGATGTAAACACTTCAAGTTCGGTTCGGATGCCTATTGGGAATGTCATATTCGACATATTTCTGAAACAATTTATCACCCTGTTGGCACTGCCAAGATGGGACCGCCAACCGATCCTACAGCTGTAGTAGATCCAAGATTAAGAGTTTATGGTATTACGGGTCTTCGAGTCATCGATGCGTCTATCATGCCAACAATAAGCAGTGGCAATACAAATGCTCCTGTTATTATGATCGGCGAGAAAGGTGCCGATCTCATCAAGCAAGATTGGTTGCGATCATCATCGGGAAATAATCACGAAAGTGTGTACTAATAAAAAGTGAATTAATCAGAAGAAAACACTATTCATGAATTTTGATGCTAGAGAGAAAAATATATATAATAGAGAAAAATTTTTAATTTTGACAAATCTGAATAATGATTAATTGAATTTTGATATATCTAAATATATGATTGATAGAATATTTATTTTTGAGTTAATATTTCAATATCATGTGTATTATGTGCAATAAAATCGTATCAAATCGTATCGGGCAATATATATGAATAATTTTTGTTGATAATGTATCGTAATAAAATATTACGTAATTAAAAAAAATCAAAAACGTTTTAATGATAAGTCTTTGCAAGCTAGTTCAAGGCGCAGAATTACGATTATATAGAAACAATTAATTATAGTATGCATCTCAGGTACTATGTTTTTTATTAAAGTTTTTCAATTTTCTCATGTGCTATATATTCTAGTATATACCAAATAAGTTAATATATAAGTTCATTATTTTTAAATACAAATGATATTGAAAAAATAATTTTATTTTACAGTATCACACACATATATACATGCGCGCGATATACATATCTGCGCATGTACATATACATATATACAAAATGAGTTAATGGAAAAGATACTCTTAACGAAAAAACAAATTAAATCTAATATTTTTAGAATAACATTTTTCGTACAAAGCTCTGAAAAAAAGACTAAAATTTGGGAAATGTATAATATATTCATGCTTTTTTAAACTTTAACATGATTTCTAAATATCTTTAATAATCAATCTTCAATAAAGAGAAAGATGTCTAAATTATTTATTTAAATAAATGATATTAAACATTTAGTATGATCAATGAAATTTCATTTGTATTTTTATTTTGTGGCTTAAAATCAACTGATTTCTGAATAATTTACAAATAATATTATTTTAATATCTTTGCTCAGTATGTACAAATGTATGCAAATTTATGCTACGAGTTATTGTACATCTTGTATATGTGTGTACGTAGAATTTATAAAATAAGACTCCAAAGCCCAATGAAAAATGATCTTGTATGTCATAGTGATAAAGAAATGTCATATAAATATAAATCTTTCACAAAAATGCTTTCTAATAAATAATAATTTTAAAGTGTTCACTTACAGGAAATGAAAAAATAAAAATTCTAAAGAAATATTTTTAATAAGAACTGTTATGGTCAATAAATCGACAGAAGAAAAGAATTGGTTAAAATAATCTGCACATTTTCTATTCGATTTCTTTGGTTGAAGATGTTGCACATATTTTGTATTGAAATTGCCAATCTAATCTTCAGAGTCGCATTGTTGAGGATTGTCTAACAATATAAAATATTTAAGGAGCTTTCATAAGTTGTGTATTCAAGGAAGTCAGTTTTAAAAATTTTTTCCAAGTAAAAATTTTGAAAACTTTAAAATTTTTAATATTTTCTGGTAAATTGAAAATATGTATATATACTCTATCTATGTATGTGCACGTCTATATTATTTGTGTACTATGTGTATACGCGTGCGCGTATGTATGCGTATGTATGTATGTAATATAAATTTTTTTTATGATTTACTATTATTTTAGAGTTAAAATTTAAAACGGTGAATCTTTAATGTAAAAAGACACAGAAATATACTTTTTAGAGAAGTTTGACGAATTCAGGGAAAACTTCAAGACATTTACTGAAAAAAGGATAATTTAATGTATTATCTAATCGGAATAAAATTAAACATACTATTTTTAGTATTTTTGATATGCTAATATCATGCATTTATTGAAATTGGAAAACTTACATTTAAACTTACACTCTCGATCTATTATGTACTATATGTAAATATGTATATAGCACATATATATAAACAAGTGTGATTATGGTTCTGTATTACTTTGTGATTTATTAGTATAAAATGTTAAGCCAATTTGCAAATGAATCGAATGATCTTAAAAGTTGTTAAATTGTTTATGTTTATGGTGTGTTTTTTATTTTTATAATAATGTTATGAAAATAAAAAGTAAAAAGTATTTTTCCTTTTATATATATGTATATTCTCTCCTTATTTTCCGTACATTTTATAATGGTATTTCTTATAAATACAAATAATAAAATGTGCACTAAATAATTTTGAATTTGTAACAATACTTTTTCACAACTTTTATTATTTAAAAAAAATTTCTGGTCCTGCATGAAGTTACAATTTTAGTTCAAAAAAGTCTTTCATGATAATTAAATGCATAAAAAATAAGAGGCCAACAATACAGACTTACTTATTTTTGTTAAATGAGAATTGGTATTATTTTTCGATCAATTTATATTACAATATTTTTTCGTAAAATTTTTGGGATTTTTTCACGAAAGCGAGATATCTAACAAAATCTCTTTTATACATCGGAATCTAAACAATTTCTATTCAAAAAACGAAATTTTTTTGAGAAAAATTCTATCCCTTCATCGACATATTTACCTTGATTTGATCAAAATAGCTTAACGTTATTTTTCTTTGTGATATTAATAAAAGTTTTTAATAATTATAAATAATTAAAGTAGTGCTCCACTTGTAATATTAATAAACAGATATCCATATATGCGCAATAATTAATCACTCATAAAAAAAAGTAAAAATATGTGTATAAACTCGGAATATAAACGATACTGATACATAACATCGCATCTATTATAATTTTACATAAGATTAATGTCACAGTGATAATTGACAGCATTATTGAAGAGTGCGAGAAAATATCAAAATATTTAACGAGTAAACATTTGTTATAATACGCGTGAAAAATGTCTTGTAATAGCGAATATATATTTATTCAATGTTACGACAATTCATATGACATAATTAAACGTGCTTTATTTTTTTATTATCCTTTGCATTATTGAAGATTGAATATCTTTTATCTTTCTCTTATCTTGATATTGTTTAAATATGTAAGAATATTTTTATAATAGTATTTGTTTTTCAATTATTAACATTAACAATCGATTATTAATTCCATGTTTCGTACTTAATATATTTGTTATATTATTTTCATATTTGTACAATAGTAGTTTCTATAAACATTTAAAAACTATTTACATTCAAACTATTTTAAGATTTCATTACATTCATTACATTCATGTATTATCTTCATAATAATATGACAATATAATTAAGATCAAAAGTGTATTAAGAGCGAATCACTACTAAGTGCTTTATATTATATTTCTTATATACAAGTTTATCATTATATGCATTATTTTATCAAGTTATGTTTAATACAAGTCTGCGTATACAGCGACACCTATAAATACATGAATTTCAATGTCAGTATATATATTCAGACACTCAGATGCAGTTCTCTTATTATATGTGCACCACTCGACACGTTGCATTCGCTTAAATATGTTGAGCAAGCTGCAGATAGTCCTTCGCCTTCTTAGTATCGCTGCAATGATTGTTTTGATACAATCAAACATGCAATCTTCATCGAAACGGTTTCGTCATCTGTACAGCGATGATGTGAATATATCGAATTTAACAAATGTGTTCAGAGCGATTGTCGGACTTTTGAACTTTTTGGACCAGGGTCAACGTTATTTAAATAAGGAATTACCGGATATTACCCCTAAATTCGGAGATGTATACGATTTTGTGGTGATTGGTGCCGGTACGGCTGGTGCTGCGATAGCCGCGAGATTGAGTGAAATTTCTCAGGTCAAGGTATTATTGATCGAAGCTGGATCTAATGAGAATTTGATCATGGACATTCCGTTAGCCGTTCACTTTCTACAACTAAATAATGACGTTAATTGGAAGTATCGATCCAAGCCATCCAACAAATATTGTCTCGGTATGAACGACAACAGTTGTAACTGGCCGAGGGGAAAAGTGATGGGCGGCAGCAGCGTGTTAAACTATATGATTGCTACCAGAGGCGGCGCCGAAGATTACGATCGCTGGGCTAAAATGGGAAATGAAGGTTGGGCTTACAAAGACGTCCTCAAATACTTCAAGAAATTGGAAACAATCGACATTCCGGAATTGAAATCGGATACTATATATCATGGAAAAAAGGGACCATTGAACATCGCTTACCCACCTTTTCATACAGTATTAGCAGAAGCTTTCTTAAAAGGTGGCAAAGAGCTAAAATATCCTACAGTAGATTACAACGGAAAGGATATAATAGGATTTTCATATTTGCAAAGCACGATTAAAAACGGTATGCGCATGAGCAGTAATAGAGCATACCTATACCCTATACATGATAGCAAAAATCTTCACGTGACTCAAAAAAGCATGGTGAGAAAAGTATTAATAGATCGTCGTACAAATCGAACGATTGGTGTAGAGTTTACTAAATATGGTCGGATTATATCCGTATTCGCAAAGAAAGAAGTAATATTATGCGCGGGTGCTATTGGATCGCCTCAATTACTAATGTTGTCCGGCATTGGACCAGCTGAACATCTCACCAAACTCGGCATAGATGTTGTTCGAAATGCGCCAGTCGGGGAAAATTTGATGGATCATGTATCTTTTGGTGGACTGACATGGATAACGAATGACCTAGAAAGCATAAAAATGCAGGACATAATCAATCCTATGCATCCATATGTAGCGGATTTTTTAACAAAACAATCGGGACCAGTTACAATTCCGGGTGCATGTGAGGCTCTTGGTTTCATCAATACTAAGGATCCAGAAAAACACAGCGGTTTACCGGATACAGAATTATTGTTTGTTGGTGGTGGTTTCAAAGGAGATCTTCTTCTTCCGATTGTAATGGGTTTGAATCCCGAAATGAGTCAAATATGGAATAAATATCTCGATAAACATGGCTGGACAATAATGCCAATACTGTTGAAACCAAAAAGTCGTGGACGGATAAGATTATTGGCTAATGATGTTAATGTTAAACCTGAGATTGTGCCAAATTACTTCGATGATGTGGAGGATATCGAGACGATGATTGCTGGTATTAAGGTTGCGATAAAAATCGGTCAAACGAAGGCGATGCAGATGTTTGATTCGCAATTGTCTAATGATACTTTTCCCGAATGTGAAGGTTACACTTATGATTCCTTTGCTTATTGGGAATGTGCAATCAGAACGATTTCTTGTACTATGTATCATTACTCCGGTACTTGTAAGATGGGGCCGAGAGAGGATCCAACTGCTGTCGTCGATCCTAAATTAAAGGTATTTGAAAGACACGATAACATATTTATAAAGTACAATATATATTATAATTTACAACGTTTATATATAAATTTATGAATTACACAATTTTGCAAGCTAATGTTTTGCATAGGTAATCGGTGTTCAAGGATTGAGAGTAGCAGATGCATCTATCATGCCTGAAATTATAGCGGGGCATACAAACATACCTACTTATATGATTGCCGAAAAACTAGCAGATATGGTTAAAGAAGAATGGGGATACTTGAAGAAGTGACAATCGTAATATTTCACAAAACAGTTATACCAATTTTCACGCGTAATATGTTGTAAACAATCAAAGTTGTAAACAAAATGCTCAATTAGAACAAAGTTAGGCAAAACTCATTCGATTAATTAAAAAAAAAATGATTCTAAAAAATATTAAAAAAGAAAGCAAAGAAAAAAACAAGTTCTTAAATTATTTTATTTAAATTATTCAAGTTATTTCAAATTATTTCTTCATATTGTATTTAAATTATTAAAACAATTATTTCATTATTATTTATAACATTTAAGTATATTACAGAAAACACAGAGAAAAATTAAGGTTAATAAAGTTATAAAAATTAGATTAAAATATTATTTTCAAAAAAATACATTTAAAGAGTCTTTCTGTAGCATTAAATATTCATACATCAAAATATTTATTTATTAGAAATACCAAAAATAAGAGAAAAATAGATATTTATGAATATGAATATTTATTTGTAAAATATTGTTTTAATGAGATAATAAAATTAATAAAAATTTTTATAAAAGAATATTCTAATTTTTACGCCGATTATCTTTGCTGTAATGTACTATATTATTATTTGTTATTAATTTCATTACAAGTACTGTAAATTAGAACACTACCTTCACAATCAAATATTCAATCTTCTCAATTTTCTCAAATTAACTTTAAATAATGCGTTATTACATATTAAACTGTTTTATTTCTAGCAATGATAGAAGACGAAAAATAATAGATCGAATTTCCAAATATTTTAAATTTATATATACATTATTCAAACTACAATACTTTTAAATATTATTTACTTTCTGATAGTTTTAATTTTTTATTTTTATTATTTTCAATAGAAGCTAATTTGTTTAAAATCAAAATAGTTAAAAGAATTTTTCTACCTTCACATATTATAAATCATATATTATACACGCCAGTAAAAATAGGGATATATAAGAGAAGGTCAATGAGTCTTATTCGGTCAATTCGGGCAGAATCCGTGACAATGACATTGACGCATATTCCATATTGAAGAGAGCACTCACATTTCTCAGCCCAACGAATAATTACTAGAAAACAATATTCGTGGACTAGAAAAATGTATGAGGTGACGAGTGACTGAATCGGGAATCAAACCCGAGGTCTTCCACATTCCGAGCAACTACTCTAAACTCACTGAGCTAGAACGTCATCTAATGCTGTTTTTATATACAGGGTGTCAGGGAATTTTTGACTTTTACGAAGTAACGAGGTAGATTGGCTCAAGTTAAGAAAGAAGGACGTCTATTGTTTTGTGATTGTCGCAATAATTAACGAAAAATGAAATAAAGAAGATTGGCCTTCGCCACGCACTTACACACTCATCGCTCCTTCCCCAATCACCGCTTCGCCGCGCATCGTCATTATGTTACAGTCAGATCACCTTCGCCGTCGTGTGCTTCTAGCCACTACATTGGCCGATCTTCTTTATTTAATTTTTCGTTAATAATTGCGACAATCACAAAACAATAGAGGTTCTTCCTTCTTAATTTGAGACAATTTACCTCCTTACTTCGTGAAAGCCAAAAATTCCCTGATACTCTATAGATTCCTGAGCGATGTATGCAAAGATTTTCTTGTTCGATATATGGAATGCCGATTGGCACGAAGGATACTTAAAAACCCTTGCTGACCCTGAGATCGACATTGCTAAACCACTTGCTATTTTTAACCAAAATTAGTAGAATTTTTTAATGTTATCTTGAAATACAAAATAAAATCAAGAGTATTTGTGCGTACTTCACAATATATGCGATTTATACATATTCGTGTGTGTGAAGTTAGTGTATCATTTTATGGAAAATCATAAATAGTTAAGAGTTCTGGATTTATTTACAATAGTTCTTTATTTACAATAGAGTTGTTGATAGTTTAAACAAATAATTCTAGTGATTAAAGCAAAGAAAATGCCTTAGGATAAACTGATATGCCAACTTCACGCAGCATATCACTTTGTATTATGAAAATTTTCCTTATCAATAATTGTTCAAATTTAAAAGATTTATAGTTTTACATGAGTTCTAAGAAGAGTTTTGCCTTTCGAATTAAAAAAATATTAAAATAAAATGAAGAAACCTCTTATCTTCAGATGTATACGGATGATATGCTGGCCGTATTTCGATATTTCTGTTTATTCCAAAACAGTTCTCGCATAATTCTGAGCATATTAATAACTTTTCCAAAGAGTTCTAGTTATGAAAATACTTAGAAAATTTTGTAAACAATATTCTGGCATAATTCTGAGCATGTACAGTGCCTTTCGAAATAGATATGATGATAAAAATATTTACAATTTGTTTTAATCACTAGAATTATTTCTTTAAACTATCAGGAACTCTAGAACTATTGTAAATAAAGCCAGAACTCTTAATTATTCATGATTTTCCACAAAATGTTACGCTAACAGAAAAGTCCTTATCATGCAATTAATGGTTATTTAACAGTTCAAGAATCGCCATGGAAGACACCATTGATAGTCGCTTTTATTTAAGCGGATGTTGAAATGGGATACGAAAATAGATATATAAATAGCGAACGACAAAACAGGTTTTATGATAACTCAAGGAACTATTTGTAGAGGAAACAGATGCTCCGCCTCAAAGGCTTCTTCACGACCTGTTCGATTGCGTAGGAATATTCATACGGCTATAAATAACCATGTAACGAAAATCATAATCGATCCATTGACAATGAAAGCAATAGGCGTCGAATTCGTCAGAGACGGTCGCAAATAGATGGTGAGACCGCGGAAGGAAGTAATATTGTCAGCAGGTGCCATCAACAGTCCTCAAATAATGATGTTGTCGGGAATCGGATATCCAAAGGAGCATTTACGGCACATCGGTATCCCTGTTATTAAAGATCTTCGGGTCGGTGACAATCTTCAAGATCACGTAGGCATGGGCGGTTTGATATTCCTAATTGATAAACCAGTTGCTATAGTTCAGGATCGTTTTCAAGCGGCTCCGATGACGTTGCACTACGTGGTCAATGGCCGAGGTCCCATGACAACCTTGGGTGGTGTTGAATGTTACGCCTTTGTTAATACAAAATATGCTAATTATTCGATCGAATATCCGGATTTGCAATTTCACATGGCGCCAGCTTCTATTAATTTTGACGCGGGAGTACAAGTTTGGAAAATTTGCTCGGCAAGAACTGCACATTTCGGCCGATTTTCAGCTGGCTCCGCCTAGCGCATCCCCCCTTTCCTCCCCGTCTCACGCAAAGCCTACGAGCCGCTCGGCGGTCAGGAGCGGGCGTATGGCAATAGCTTTCCAAGTCACCCATGAGGTACTATTGTTGACGCGGTTTTTTTAAAATGGTATCCCCAGGCCTAATCCACTGATGACTAAAACGACCTTTTAACTAATTACATAAGACGATAAAGTTTATCACGTCTTATGCGACTTGCTACATGCCGTATGCAAATAGATGTTCCTGATCTCGCTTATAAAAAATCCCGAAAGTCATAAATATTCATATCAATTATTATTTATAATTCCGTGCAATTAGTTAAAAGGTCGTTTTGGTCATCAGTGAATTAGGCCTATTGAGGATATCACTTAAAAAAAACGCGCCAACAATAGTACCTCATGGGTCACGTGGAATGCTATTGGCCATATGCCCGCTCCTGAGCGCCGAGCGGCTCGTACGCTTTGCACGAGACGGCAAGGTAAAGGGGGACGCGCTAGGCGGAGCCAACCGAAAATCAGCTGAAATGTGCAGCTCTTGCCGAGATCTGCGTTATTTTATCAAGTTATGTTTAATACAAGTCTGCGTATACAGCGACACCTATAAATACATGAATTTCAATGTCAGTATATATATTCAGACATTCAGATGCAGTTCTCTTATTATATGTGTATCACTCGACACGTTACATTCGCTTAGATATGTTGAGCAAGCTGCAGATAGCTTTTTGCCTTCTTAGTATAGCTGCAATGATCGTTCCGATACAATCGAACAGACAAGCTTCATCGAAGCGGTTTCGTAATCTGTACAGTGATGATGTAAATATATCGAATGTAACAAATGTCTTCAGAGCGAATATCGGACTTTTGAACTTTTTGGACCAGGGTCAACGTTATCTAAATAAGGAATTACCGGATATTACCCCTAAATTCGGAGATGTATACGATTTTGTGGTGATTGGTGCCGGTACGGCTGGTGCTGCGATAGCCGCGAGATTGAGTGAAATTTCTCAGGTCAAGGTATTACTGATCGAAGCTGGATCTAATGAGAATTTAATCATGGACATTCCGTTAATCGCTTACATCCTACAACTAAGTAATGACGTTAATTGGAAGTATCGAACCAAGCCATCCAACAAATATTGTCTCGGTATGAACGACAACAGTTGTAACTGGCCGAGGGGAAAAGTGATGGGCGGCAGCAGCGTGTTAAACTATATGATTGCTACCAGAGGCGGCGCCGAAAATTACGATCGCTGGGCTAAAATGGGAAATGAAGGTTGGGCTTACAAAGACGTCCTCAAATACTTCAAGAAATTGGAAACAATCGATATTCCGGAATTGAAATCGGATACTATATATCATGGAAAAAAGGGACCATTGAACATCGCTTACCCACATTTTCATACAGTATTAGCAGAAGCTTTCTTAAAAGCTGGCAAAGAGCTAAAATATCCTACAGTAGATTACAACGGAAAGGATATAATAGGATTTTCATATTTGCAGAGCACGATTAAAAACGGTATGCGCATGAGCAGTAATAGAGCATACCTATACCCTATACATGATCGCAAAAATCTTCACGTAACTCAAAAAAGCATGGTGAGAAAAGTATTAATAGATCGTCGTACAAATCGAACGATTGGTGTAGAGTTTACTAAATATGGTCGGATTATATCCGTGTTCGCAAGGAAAGAAGTAATATTATGCGCGGGTGCCATTGGATCGCCGCAATTACTAATGTTATCCGGCATTGGACCGGCTAAACATCTCGCCAAACTCGGCATAGATGTTGTTCGAAATGCGCCGGTCGGGGAAAATTTGATGGATCATATATCC